CACCCCCACAGCATGATGCTGCCACCCGCGTTTCACGGTTGGGATGGTGTTCTTTGGCATCCCCCTTTTTCCTCCAAACATAATGATGGTCATCAGACCAGAGGACATTTCTCCAAAAAGTACGATCTTTGTCCCCATGTGCAGTTGCAGACCGTAGTCTGGCCTTTTTATGGTGGTTTTGGAGCAATGGCTTCTTCCTAGCTGAGCAGCCTTTCAGGTTATGGCGATATAGGACTCGTTTTACTGTGGATATAGATACTTTTGTACCTGTTTCCTCCAGCATCTTCACAAGGTCCTTTGCTGTTGTTCTGGGATTGATTTGCACTTTTCGCACCAAAGTACGTTCATCTCTAGGAGACAGAATGCATCTCCTTCCTGAGCGGTATGACGGCTGCGTGGTCCCATGGTGTTTATACTAGCGTACTATTGTTTGTACAGATGAACGTGGTACCTTCAGGCATTTGGAAATTACTCCCAAGGATGAACCAGATTTTTTTCTGAGGTCTTGACTGATTTCTTTTGATTTTCCCATGATGTCAAGCAAAGACTCAAATGATGTCAATTAGCCTATCAGAAGCTTCTAAAGCCATGACATCATTTTCTGGAATTTTCCAAGCTGTTTAAAGGCACAGTCAACTTAGTGTATGTAAACTTCTGACCCACTGGAATTGTGATACAGTGAATTATAAGTGAAATAATCTGTCTGTAAACAATTGTTGGAAAAATTACGTGTCATGCACAAAGTAGATGTCCTAACCGACTTGCCAAAACTCTAGTTTGTTAAGAAAAAATTGTGGAGTGGTTGAAAAACAAGTTTTAATGACTCCAACCTAAGTGTATGTAAACTTCAGACTTCAACTGTGTATATATATACAGTGGGGGAAAAAAGTATTTAGTCAGCCACCAATTGTGCAAGTTCTCCCACTTAAAAAGATGAGAGAGGCCTGTAATTTTCATCATAGGTACACGTCAACTATGACAGACAAAATGAGAAAAAAAATCCAGAAAATCACATTGTAGGATTTTTTATGAATTTATTTGCAAATTATGGTGGAAAATAAGTATTTGGTCAATAACAAAAGTTTCTCAATACTTTGTTATATACCTTTTGTTGGCAATGACACAGGTGAAATGTTTTCTGTAAGTATTCACAAGGTTTTCACACACCGTTGCTGGTATTTTGGCCCATTCCTCCATGCAGATCTCCTCTAGAGCAGTGATGTTTTGGGGCTGTTGCTGGGCAACACAGACTTTCAACTCCCTCCAAAGATTTTCTATGGGGTTGAGATCTGGAGACTGGCTAGGCCACTCCAGGACCTTGAAATGCTTCTTACGAAGCCACTCCTTCGTTGCCCGGGCGGTGTGTTTGGGATCATTGTCATGCTGAAAGACCCAGCCACGTTTCATCTTCAATGCCCTTGCTGATGGAAGGAGGTTTTCACTCAAAATCTCACGATACATGGCCCCATTCATTCTTTCCTTTACACGGATCAGTGGTCCTGGTCCCTTTGCAGAAAAACAGCCCCAAAGCATGATGTTTCCACCCCCATGCTTCACAGTAGGTATGGTGTTCTTTGGATGCAACTCAGCATTCTTTGTCCTCCAAACACGACGAGTTGAGTTTTTACCGAAAAGTTATATTTTGGTTTCATCTGACCATATGACATTCTCCCAATCCTCTTCTGGATCATCCAAATGCACTCTAGCAAACTTCAGACGGGCCTGGACATGTACAGGGGGACACGTCTGGCACTGCAGGATTTGAGTCCCTGGCGGCGTAGTGTGTTACTGATGGTAGGCTTTGTTACTTTGGTCCCAGCTCTCTGCAGGTCATTCACTAGGTCCCCTGTGTGGTTCTGGGATTTTTGCTCACCGTTCTTGTGATCATTTTGACCCCACGGGGTGAGATCTTGCGTGGAGCCCCAGATCGAGGGAGATTATCAGTGGTCTTGTATGTCTTCCATTTTCCTAATAATTGCTCCCACAGTTGATTTCTTCAAACCAAGCTGCTTACCTATTGCAGATTCAGTCTTTCCAGCCTGGTGCAGGTCTACAATTTTGTTTCTGGTGTCCTTTGACAGCTCTTTGGTCTTGGCCATAGTGGAGTTTGGAGTGTGACTGTTTGAGGTTGTGGACAGGTGTCTTTTATACTGATAACAAGTTCAAACAGGTGTCATTAATACAGGTAACGAGTGGAGGACAGAGGAGCCTCTTAAAGAAGAAGTTACAGGTCTGTGAGAGCCAGAAATCATGCTTGTTTGTAGGTGACCAAATACTTATTTTCCACCATAATTTGCAAATAAATTTATTAAAAATCCTACAATGTGATTTTCTGGATTTTCTTTCCTCAATTTGTCTGTCATAGTTGACGTGTACCTATGATGAAAATTACAGGCCTCTCTCATCTTTTTAAGTGGGAGAACTTGCACAATTGGTGGCTGACTAATACTTTTTTCCCCCACTGTATATATATAAATATACACAGTGGGGAGAACAAGTATTTGATACACTGCCGATTTTGCAGGTTTTCCTACTTACAAAGCATGTAGAGGTCTTTCAAATCACATTGTATGATTTTTAAGTAATTAATTTGCATTTTATTGCATGACATAAGTATTTGATACATCAGAAAAGCAGAACTTAATATTTGGTACAGAAACCTTTGTTTGCAATTACAGAGATCATACGTTTCCTGTAGGTCTTGACCAGGTTTGCACACACTGCAGCAGGGATTTTGGCCCACTCCTCCATACAGACCTTCTCCAGATCCTTCAGGTTTCGGGGCTGTCGCTGGGCAATACGGACTTTCAGCTCCCTCCAAAGATTTTCTATTGGGTTCAGGTCTGGAGACTGGCTAGGCCACTCCAGGACATTGAGATGCTTCTTACGTAGCCACTCCTTAGTTGCCCTGGCTGTGTGTTTCGGGTCGTTGTCATGCTGGAAGACCCAGCCATGACCCATCTTCAATGCTCTTACTGAGGGAAGGAGGTTGTTGGCCAAGATCTCGCAATACATGGCCCCATCCATCCTCCCCTCAATTCGGTGCAGTTGTCCTGTCCCCTTTGCAGAAAACATCCCCAAAGAATGATGTTTCCACCTCCATGCTTCACGGTTGGGATGGTGTTCTTGGGGTTGTACTCATCCTTCTTCTTCCTCCAAACACGGCGAGTGGAGTTTAGACCAAAAAGCTCTATTTTTGTCTCATCAGACCACATGACCTTCTCCCATTCCTCCTCTGGATCATCCAGATGGTCATTGGCAAACTTCAGACGGGCCTGGACATGCGCTGGCTTGAGCAGGGGGACCTTGCGTGCGCTGCACGATTTTAATCCATGACGGCGTAGTGTGTTACTAATGGTTTTCTTTGAGACTGTGGTCCCAGCTCTCTTCAGGTCATTGACCAGGTCCTGCCGTGTAGTTCTGGGCTGATCCCTCACCTTCCTCATGATCATTGATGCCCCACAAGGTGAGATCTTGCATGGAGCCCCAGACCGAGGGTGATTGATCGCCATCTTGAACTTCTTCCATTTTCTAATAATTGCGGCAACAGTTGTTGCCTTCTAACCAAGCTGCTTGCCTATTGTCCTGTAGCCCATCCCAGCCTTGTGCAGGTCTACAATTTTATCCCTGATGTCCTTACACAGCTCTCTGGTCTTGGCCATTGTTGAGAGGTTGCAGTCTGTTTGATTGAGTGTGAGGACAGGTGTCTTTTATACAGGTAACGAGTTCAAACAGGTGCAGTTAATACAGGTAATGAGTGGAGAACAGGAGGGCTTCTTAAAGAAAAACTAACAGGTCTGTGAGAGCCGGAATTCTTACTGGTTGGTAGGTGATCAAATACTTATGTCATGCAATAAAATGCAAATTAATTACTTAGAAATCATACAATATGATTTTCTGGATTTTTGTTTTAGATTCCGTATCTCACAGTTGAAGTGTACCTATGATAAAAATTACAGACCTCTACATGCTTTGTAAGTAGGAAAACCTGCAAAATCGGCAGTGTATCAAATACTTGTTCTCCCCACTGTATATAGATATAGATGGAGTGCTGTTTCAATGGTTCTTTTTGTGGGAGTCGGATAGGGTTGGGGTGGGGATGGGTGATGTGGATGGCTAGTGAAGATGAGTGAGCAAACACTCCTGTTTTTGTTTATCCAGCCTATCCTCTGCTCTGCCCCAGACCCCACAGGACCTGGCTGCCATGACACACACAGCTGTGGAGAGCCTGGAGTGCATGTGATGTTCCTGGTTATAGTAGATAGTCCTCCATGGGGAAACCCTCCCTGGGTGGAGAGACAACCTGTGCTTCTACTGGGAGGGATGGGATGAGAGACACAGGATGTGCCTTGTTAGAGGCTGGCCGTGGGGACACCGTCCATGGGTAGAGAGGTGCTACTGGCATGGATTACAGACAGACACGAGGTGCCTGGTTATAGCAGCCCTGGGGATCTCCTCCCTGGGTGGAGAGAGCCTACGGTGCTGGGAGAGATGGGGATGGTGGACAGAATGTGCATGGTAATAGTGGCTGGCCATGGGGAATGGGTTAGTTGGACAGGTTGTGCCTGGTTAGGACATGGGGATACCCCCACCATCCCTTTGTGTGTGTTCTCTCTGAGGAGGAAGGAAGGCTCTTTCTGTAGCCACACTCGCCCCACCATGAGTCATGCAGCTCACGTGCAAACACTGTCTGTGCAAAGTGATCCACACGCAGCGTGGACACTCGCCTTGTTTCCCAAGAACTCCACCTATTGATTTGGGCCAGACCCTTTAATCTTATTAAAATGTCTCTATCGTTGAGAGACAAGCAGGCCTTATTGACTTGGGGTCTTGGGACCAAGACTAACTGCCTCACTTTTTCATCAGTGGCATACGTTCTGCAACAACTCTTTAACATATTTTACAGCATATGATTTGTTAATGTACAGTATTTGGATTGGTCTTTGCAGTTAGTAAGTGTGTGTCATATTTTTGAATATGTGTGTTTCCTGTGCTCCAGGGGGGCGTTCTCGGAGGTGGTACTTGCCGAGGAGAAGGGGACCCAGAGGCTGGTGGCCATCAAGTGTATCCCCAAGAAGGCTCTGCAGGGAAAAGAGAACAACATCGAGAATGAGATCGCTGTGCTGCACAGGTCAGTAACATAGTGAATTAACACAACACACCACACTACACCACACCACTACATAACTCAATATCCTTAAAGCTAAAATCCGCAGTTGAAACAATAACAAAGCGGTCCACCGCACCTCTGTTTTGGGAAAATGCTAAGGGATGGGCCTGGAGAAATGTAACCATTCTCAAATACATAGACAGACGTATGGGTGCAAGGACTGACCATCCATGATATCAACATTATAGTTTTAACCATGTTTTGAGGCTATGCAATGTTTGTTTACATTTATATTGTTTACAAACATGAGTAAAACCAACTTATATTTTGGGTTCTGATGGGTGTGACAGTTGAACTAATAAGCTCATGAGGCATTTATAAGTTATAGCCTATTCTTCAAGAATCAATGGGTAGGCTACATATCAATAATTAATACGGCCAAAAATGGATGTAGCAACTGCAGATTCTAGCTTTAATAATTAATACCAGGTCGTTTCCCCATCATCAGTCATTAAAATATTTTAATACTCATTATGTTCAGGTTCAGGAAAGAGGCTGAAGGTGAGAGGTAGCATAACGGATGGGCCAGTAACCGAAAGATCACTGGTTCGAATCCCTGAGCCGACTAGGTGTAAAATCTGCCGATGTGCCCTTGAGCAAGGCACTTAACCCTAATTGCTCCTGTAAGTCGCACTGGGTAAGACCATCTGCTAAATGACTCAAATGTAAAATGTAAATTATAAACTGGGTGGTTTGAGCCCTGAATGCTGATTGGCTGACAGCCGTGTTATATCACGGGTATGACAAAACATTTATTTTTACTGCTCTAATTACGTTGGTAACCAGTTTATAATAGCAATAAAGCACCTCGGGGTTGGTGGTATATGGCCAATATACCACAACCCCTCAGGCCTTATTGCTTAAATAACACACAGGATCTGTCAATGTAAAGGATTGACAGCATGGTATCTATTGGCTCATAGTAATGTACGGCAGAGCCACCTTGATGTTAAGCAGTGGAGGCCAGTGGAGAAAAGGGACTGACTGGATGCATGGTACAGTATGTTATATATGTGTCCTGTCAGTAGAAACACCAGGATTGTGCACCGGAAATGTCAGGAGTAAAGAAGATAAACCTATTTTTAGTGTCCTTGTTGCTAGGGCAACAGCACACACAGAGGCGGAGGGGAGATGATGTGTGTGCGCCTGTGTGTGTGTGGAGTTCCCTGCAGCAGTGTGATGAAGGAGAGAGAGAAATAGAATTGAGGGGAGAGGGAGAGAGAGATATACTCATAGACATACACATTGACGTCCTCTCTCCTCCCTCCTCTCTCTTTTCTTTACAGCATCAACACACTGTGTCACATATCGCCTACATGACTACTTACAGTATAACAACAGAGCAATGTCCTGCCTCAGCCTTGGATGTCTCGTTGGCTTGTGTATTACCAGTGCTGTTCCTGCCAGTGTATTTCCCTCAGTCAGAATAGAACTCCCCCTAACTGGCTCGCTTCTCTCTCGTCAGTGGTGCTGGATGAAGACATGGACACGGGTTTGTTCAACCAATGTCAGGAGCTGGCTCCAGTATATATCCATATATTCTGGATAGGGATGATGAAACACTCCTCTGTCAGAGACTACTCTATGTTTGGTGTGAGAAGAAAACAACCGGCCCCACGAAATGACTAGTTCTGTATTTATGGGATGAGGCTTTGTTTATGGTGCTCCTACACACTCTTAAACACAGCAATGGTGCCACCTGGTGATCATGTGACAGTATTGAGAGAGAGACACCGTGAGGCATAGTACTGTACACTGAGTATACCAAAAGTTAGGAACAACTTCCTAATATTCTTTCTTTCTTTCTTTCTTTTCAGAATCAAGCACACCAACATTGTTTCACTGGAGGACATATTTGAGAGCACATCCCACTTGTACCTGGTTATGCAGCTGTGAGTCTGCACTTTCTTCTCTCTCGGTCTCTCTCTTTCTCTATCTCTCTATCCCCTCTCTCCTCTTCTTATTCATTGTTCTGGTAGAAATACTGTAAGTCATAAAGCCGGGACAGATTGCTGGACTGGTGTGGGGTATAAGTTCATGACATTTTTTTCCTTTCTTAAAATATTGTGTTTGGGAGAAGCAAAACAGTGAGCGGACATTCCCCTTTTCTGTATGTATAGGACCTTATTTTTGTCCGGCACCTTTAAGTATTGTACGTAAGTAGCATTGGCTCATGCGTGCCGGAACGGCTCATAAGAGTAAGAGCCTGTCCCCTTTCTGTAGCGTGAGGCAGCTTGATGTACAAGTACACCCCCTGGACAGGACACTAGTCTATCATAGGGCCTTACTCCCAATCTATCTCCTTAATCCTGAGTGCCAAGCAGAGAAGCGTCAGGTCCCATTTTTAGTATTATGGATGTGTGCCTCTGTCAGGGTGTCTGGAGGGGAGCTGTTTGACCGCATCGTAGAGAAGGGTTTCTACACAGAGAGAGATGCCAGCCAACTCATTCACCAGATCCTGGACGCTGTCAAATACCTCCATGACATGGGCATTGTACACAGGGATCTGAAGGTTTGGCAACTCTACACTCACACCAGTGGAGGCTCCTCAGAGGAGGAAGGGGAGGACCATCCTCCTCTGAATTTCATTAAATATATTTAAAAATATTTAAAAAGTTATCCTTTTTAGATAAAACTATACTAAATATTATCACGTCACCAAATAATTGATTAAAACACACTATTTTGTAAAGGTCTACAGTAGCCTCAACAGCACTCTGTAGGGTAGCACCATGGTGTAGCCAGAGGACAGCTAGCTTCCATCCTCCTCTGAGTACATTGACATCAATGCAAAACCTAGGAGACTCATGGTTCTCACCCCCTTCCATAGACTTACACAGTAATTATGACAACTTCCGGAGGACGTCCTCCAACCTATCAGAGCTCTTGCAGCATGAACTGACATGTTGTCCACCCAATCAAAGGGTCAGAGAATTAATCTAGTACTGAATGCATAAATTACAGCTAGCTAGCACTGCAGTGCATAAAATGTGTTGAGTAGACTCAAAGAGAGAGAAATAAAATAGTTGAACAGTTTTAAGCAAATCAATGTATTCCTAAATGAAGGAGAAGCAAGAGAGAAATAGAGAGAGAGATTTCGTCACTAGCAAATGCAGCTAGCTAATTTAGCCTACTGAAACACCCTGCTCAAACAGAGGGATGCTATGTTAGCTAGCTGGCTATGACTATCCAACACAACACTGGAACTCTTCCATGTCAAGGTAAGCTTTTGGTTTTACTAATTTATTACAACCGGGGCCCGCCGGTGTAAATGCTTATTGACTGTATACTGTAACGTTACTGCATTGCGGGTTTACTAACACGTTAGTTCTGTTAGCTATGCTGACTATGACGTTACTTTAGCTAATGAAGTGACAACGATGTAGGCTGTGTGTAGTGGTTTGGCTTGGAAAGTTTTTTTTTCCGCAAGGTCGCATACAGCTGATATTTTGTACATTGAAGTCCACAAGCAAAGGGAAGAGGTGAAAGGAGGAGAGCGCATAACGTAGATGCGAGAAGGAATACAACATGGCTGCTATGAAACTGTGAACTGTGTTTACCCGTGATCAGGGGTGTATTCATTCCGCCGATTCTGTTGAAAAACATTTCTTAAACAGAAGCAAACAGAACAAAACGGGGATAAACATACCTGAATTTGTCCAATAGAAACTCTTGTTTGCAACTGTTGGACTAATGATTACCACTATCAACTACATGCAGGCAAGAGTGTGCAAGGCGGCACTGTCTGTCACATCAAATTTGTCTCTCAACCTGTGTGCACCTACACTACCGTTCAAAAGTTTGGGGTCACTTAGAAATGTCCTTATTTTCCATGAAAACATACATGAAATGAGTTTGAATAAGAAATATAGCAAAATGAATAAGAAATGTAGTCATTGACAAGGTTAGAAATAATGATTTTTTTTATTGAAACAATAATTGTGTCCTTCAAACTTTGCTTTCGTCAAAGAATCCTCCATTTGCAGCAATTACAGCCTTGCAGACCATTGGCATTCTAGTTGTCCATTTTTTGACGTAATCTGAAGAGATGTCACCCCATGCTTCCTGAAGCACCTCCCACAAGTTGGATTGGCTTGATGGGCACTTCTTACGTACCATACGATCAAGCTGCTCCCACAACAGCTCAATAGGGTTGAGATCCGGTGACTGTGCTGGCCACTCCATTATAGACAGAATACTAGCTGACTGCTTCTTCCCTAAATAGTTATTGCATTGTTTGGAGCTGTGCTTTGGGTCATTGTCCTGTTGTAGGAGGAAATTGGCTCCAATCAAGCACCGTCCACAGGATATGGCATGGCGTTGCAAAATTGAGTGATAGCCTTCCTTCTTCAAGATCACTTTTACCCTGTACAAATCTCCCACTTTACCACCACCAAAGCACCCCCAGACCATCACATTGCCTCCACCATGCTTGACAGATGGCATCAAGCACTCCTCCAGCATCTTTTCATTTGGTCTGCGTCTCACAAATGTTCTTCTTTGTGATCCGAACACCTCAAACTTCGATTGGTCTGTCCATAACACTTTTTTCCAATCTTCCTCTGTCCAGTGTCTGTGTTCTTTTGCCCATCTTAATCTTTTATTTTTATTGGCCAGTCTGATATATGGCTTTTTCTTTCAACTCTGCCTAGAAGGTCTGCATCCCGGAGTCGCCTCTTCACTGTTGACGTTGAGACTGGTGTTTTGGGGGTACTATTTAATGAAGCTGTCAGTTGAGGACCTGTGAGGCGTCTGTTTCTCAAACTAGACACTCTAATGTATTTGTCCTCTTGCTCAGTTGTGCACCGGGGCCTCCCACTCCTCTTTCTATTCTGGTTAGAGCCAGTTTGGGCTGTTCTGTGAAGGGAGTAGTACACAGTGTTGTACGAGATCTTCAGTTTCTTGGCAATTTCTCGCATGGAATAGCCTTAATTTCTCAGAACAAGAATAGACTAACAAGTTTCAGAAGAAAGTTATTTGTTTCTGGCCATTTTGAGCCTGTAATCGAACCCACAATTGCTGATGCTCCAGATACTCAACTAGTCTCAAGAAGGCCAGTTTTATTGCTTCTTTAATCAGCACAACAGTTTTCAGCTGTGCTAACATAATTGCAAAAGGGTTTTCGAATGATCAATTAGCCTTTTAAAATGATAAACTTGGATTAGCAAACACAACGTGCCATTGGAACACAGGACTGATGGTTGCTGATAATGGGCCTCTGTACGCCTATGTAGATATTCCATTAAAAATCAGCCGTTTCCAGCTACAATAGCCATTTACAACATTAACAATGTCTACACTGTATTTCTGATCAATTTCATGTTATTTTAATGGACAAAATAATTGCTTTTCTTTCGAAAACAAGGACATTTCTAAGTGACCCCAAACTTTTGAACGGTAGTGTACGTTGTAAACTTTCATTCATTGGCTAGGTTGTAGCAACCTCATGATGGCTATAGGGAAAATTAGAGTATCATGTAGTAGCCTCTGTAGCTCAATTGGTAGAGCATGGTGCTTGTAACGCCAGGGTAGTGGGTTCGATCCCCGGGACCACCCATACGTAAAAATGTATGCGCACATGACTGTAAGTCGCTTTGGATAAAAGCGTCTGCTAAATGGCATATTATTTTATTATTATTAGCCTAAACCTATCGCTGTTACATTGAATTGGGTGAAAGGAATATGACTGACAGTCATCCAATATGCTGTAATAGAAATAAGGCCATGCTCATGAAAAAAAGAACCGTCCTCCATCATCTGAAACGGCACTGACCGCCACTGACTCACACACACTCACACATGCACAAACACGCAAACCAGGGTTGGGGTCAAACCCATTTCAATTCCAGTGAATTCAGAATGTAAACCAAATTCAAAATTTTACTAATTGAAAAGCATTGAATAGAATTTGAATTTCAGTGTACTTCCTGAATTGTCTGGAACTGAAATAGAATTGACCCCAACCCTAATGCACACACACACACACACACACACACACACACACATCAGTAAACGGTCAGTGCCATTCAATACCGCCTTGCACACTCTTGCCTGCATCTAGCTGATATAGGGTGTAATCATTAGTCCAACAGTTGTAAACGAGAGTTTCTATTGGACAAATTCAGGTATGTTTATCCCCGTTTGCTTTCGTTTAAGAAAAGTTTTTCAACAGAATCTGCAGAATGAATACACACAGTTCACTTTCATAGCAGCCACGTTGTATTCCTTCTAAGCGCTCTCCTCCTCTCACGTTGTCCCCACGCTTGTGGACTTTAATGCACAACACATCAGCTGTATGAGACCAGGCGAAAATACCTTTCCAAGCCAAACCGCTACACACAGCTTACATCGTTGTCACCATATTAGCTAAAGTAACGTCATAGTCAGCATAGCTAATAGAACTAACACGTTAGTAAACCCGCTACAATCATGCAGTAACGTCAGTAAGAAGTTACACCGGCGGGCCCCGGTGGCAAGAAATTAGTAATACCAAAACTGGATAGTCATAGCCAGCTAGCTAAGAAAGCATCCGTCTGTTTGAGCAGGGTGTTTCAGTAGGCTAAACTAGCTAGCTGCATTTGCTAGCTAAGTAAGTGAAACTGAAACTGGAAAAAATACTTATTTTGATCTAAACTGTTCAACTATTGTCTTTCTCTCTCTTTGAGTCAACTACTCACCACGTTTTATACACTGCAGTGCTAGCTAGCTGTAGCTTATGCTTTCAGTACTAGATTAATTCTCTGATCCTTTGATTGGGTGGACAACATGTCAGTTCATGCTGCAAGAGCTCTGATAGGCTGGAGGACGTCCTCCGGAAGTTGTCATTACTGTGTAAGTCTATGGAAGGGGGTGAGAACCATGAGTCTCCTAGGTTTTGTATTGAAGTCAATGTACCCAGAGGAGGATGGAAGCTAGCTGTCTTCCGGCTGCACCATGGTGCTACCCTACAGAGTGCTGTTGAAGCTACTGTAGACTTTCTTTGCAAAATAGTGTGTTTTAATCAATTGTTTGGTGACGTGATTATATTTAGTATAGTTTTATCAAAAAATGATAACTTTTTAAATGTTTTTTTGACATTCACTGAGTAGGATGGTCCTCCCCTTCCTCCTCTGAGGAGCCTCCACTGACACACACATACATACATACATACATACACACACCTCCACGACATCATCATCCTACACATGGTCATCCTACACATGGTCATCCTACACATAGTCATCCTAAACAGGGCCGATCTGCTTGTTTCCCTCCTTGGAGAGTCAGTTTATAAGATCTTGTACTCTTGTGAAATGGTAATAAACTCAGCAAAAAAAGAAATGTCCCTTTTTCAGGACCCTGTCTATCAAAGATCATTCGTAAAAATCCAAATAACTTCACAGATCTTCATTGTGAAGGGTTTAAACACTGTTTCCCATGCTTGTTCAATGAACCATAAACAATTAATGAACATGCACCTGTGGAACGGTCGTTAAGACACTAACAGCTTACAGACGGTAGGCAATTAAGGTCACAGTTATGAAAACTTAGGACACTAAAGAGGCCTTTCTACTGACTCTGAAAAACACCAAAAGAAAGATGCCCAGGGTCCCTGCTCATCTGCGTGAACGTGACTTACGCATGCTGCAAGGAGGCAAGAGGACTGCAGTGTCCGTACTGTGAGATGCCTAAGACAGCGCTACAGGGAGACAGGACGGACAGCTGATCATCCTCGCAGTGGCAGACCACGTGTAACAACACCTGCACAGGATCGGTACATCCAAACATCACACCTGCGGGACAGGTACAGGATGGCAACAACAACTGCCAGAGTTACACCAGGAACGCACAATCCCTCCATCAGTGCTCAGCCTGTCTACAATAGGCTGAGAGAGGCTGGACTGAGGGCTTGTAGGCCTGTTGTAAGGCAGGTCCTCACCAGACATCACCGGCAACAACGTCGCCTATGGGCACAAACCCACCGTCGCTGGACCAGACAGGACTGGCAAAAAGTGCTCTTCACTGACGAGTCGTGGTTTTGTCTCACCAGGGGTGATGGTCGGATTCGCGTTTATTGTCGTAGGAATGAGCGTTTCACCGAGGCCTGTACTCTGGAGTGGGATCGATTTGGAGGTGGAGGGTCCGTCATGGTCTGGGGCGGTGTGTCACAGCATCATCGGACTGAGCTTGTTGTCATTGCAGGCAATCTCAACGCTGTGCGTTACAGAGAAGACATCATCCTCCCTCATGTGGTACCCTTCCTGCAGGCTCATCCTGACATGACCCTCCAGCATTACAATGCCACCAGCCATACTGCTCGTTCTGTGCGTGATTTCATGCAAGACAGGAATGTCAGTGTTCTCCATGGCCAGCGAAGAGCCCGGATCTCAATCCCATTGAGCATGTCTGGGACCTGTTGGATCGGAGGGTGAGGGTTAGGGCCATTCCCCACAGAAATGTCTGGGAACTTGCAGGTGCCTTGGTGGAAGAGTCGGGTAACATCTCACAGCAAGAACTGGCAAATCTGGTGCAGTCCATGAGGAGGAGATGCACTGCAGTACTTAATGCAGCTGGTGACCACACCAGATACTGACTGTTACTTTTAATTTGGACCCCCCCCCCCCCCCCCCCCCTTTGTTCAGGGACACATGATTCAATTGATGTTAGTCACATGTCTGTGGAACTTGTTCAGTTTATGTCTCAGTTGTTGAATCTTGTAATATTTACCCATGTTAAGTTTGCTGAAAATAAACACAGTTGACAGTGAGAGGACGTTTCTTTTTTTGATGAGTTCAGGTCCTGTAGAAATAGATACAGTGGGGAAAAAAAAGTATTTAGTCAGCCACCAATTGTGCAAGTTCTCCCACTTAAAAAGATGAGAGAGGCCTGTAATTTTCATCATAGGTACACGTCAACTATGACAGACAAATTGAGAAAAGAAAATCCAGAAAATCTCATTGTAGGATTTTTTATGAATTTATTTGCAAATTATGGTGGAAAATAAGTATTTGGTCACCTACAAACAAGCAAGATTTCTGGCTCTCACAGACCTGTAACTTCTTCTTTAAGAGGCTCCTCTGTCCTCCACTCGTTACCTGTATTAATGGCACCTGTTTGAACTTGTTATCAGTATAAAAGACACCTGTCCACAACCTCAAACAGTCACACTCCAAACTCCACTATGGCCAAGACCAAAGAGCTGTCAAAGGACACCAGAAACAAAATTGTAGACCTGCACCAGGCTGGGAAGACGGAATCTGCAATAGGTAAGCAGCTTGGTTTGAAGAAATCAACTGTGGGAGCAATTATTAGGAAATGGAAGACATACAAGACCACTGATAATTTCCCTCGATCTGGGGCTCCACGCAAGATCTCACCCCGTGGGGTCAAAATGATCACAAGAACGGTGAGCAAAAATCCCAGAACCACACGGGGGGACCTAGTGAATGACCTGCAGAGAGCTGGGACCAAAGTAACAAAGCCTACCATCAGTAACACACTACGCCGCCAGGGACTCATATCCTGCAGTGCCAGACGTGTCCCCCTGCTTAAGCCAGTACATGTCCAGGCCCGTCTGAAGTTTGCTAGAGTGCATTTGGATGATCCAGAAGAGGATTGGGAGAATGTCATATGGTCAGATGAAACCAAAATATAACTTTTTGGTAAAAACTCAACTCGTCGTGTTTGGAGGACAAAGAATGCTGAGTTGCATCCAAAGAACACCATACCTACTGTGAAGCATGGGGGTGGAAACATCATGCTTTGGGGCTGTTTTTCTGCAAAGGGACCAGGACCACTGATCCGTGTAAAGGAAAGAATGAATGGGGCCATGTATCGTGAGATTTTGAGTGAAAACCTCCTTCCATCAGCAAGGGCATTGAAGATGAAACGTGGCTGGGTCTTTCAGCATGACAATGATCCCAAACACACCGCCCGGGCAACGAAGGAGTGGCTTCGTAAGAAGCATTTCAAGGTCCTGGAGTGGCCTAGCCAGTCTCCAGATCTCAACCCCATAGAAAATCTTTGGAGGGAGTTGAAAGTCCGTGTTGCCCAGCGACAGCCCCAAAACATCACTGCTCTAGAGGAGATCTGCATGGAGGAATGGGCCAAAATACCAGCAACAGTGTGTGAAAACCTTGTGAAGACTTACAGAAAACGTTTGACCTGTGTCATTGCCAACAAAGGGTATATAACAGAGTATTGAGAAACTTTTGTTATTGACCAAATACTTATTTTCACCATAATTTGCAAATAAATTCATTAAAAATCCTACAATGTGATTTTCTGGATTTTTTTTTCTAATTTTGTCTGTCATAGTTGACTCTCTCATCTTTTTAAGTGGGAGAACTTGCACAATTGGTGGCTGACTAAATCCTTTTTTCCCCACTGTACATTAGTATTAGATGCTGTCCATTAGATTAGTACTCAAAAATAACAACCACTCCAATTACTCTTTGTCTTGCATTGCCACACATCCATGTCTAGTGTTCACCAATGTGAGAAAGCTGGAAATCGAGTTTCATTTACTCCTCGGCTGCCAAATTATAATTTTCATATTTAAATATTTTACATGGGCACAGCTGTTGGTGCAATGTTGCCAAAGCAATCACCATTTGACCATTTGAACATGGAATGCAACAGATCCTCCCTCAAGTTTAGGCATTCTGCCACATCCCAGGCTGTATGAAGAGGTGCCAATGTACTCCCTCAACAACTTTTCTTGCCAATTATTTCTTACCGGAATCATTAAGGTTTCTGTAAGAAAAGCTTCAAAGCTCCAGTTGTAATCTTTTCACTTTTTGTCATAACTTCATAAACCTAATTTTCTCTCTCACTCTGTCTGTCTCTCTCTTTCCCTTCTCTTTCTCTCTGTTCCTCCCTCTCTCTCTCGCCCTCTTTCTCCCCTCCTCTCTCTCTCTCTTTCTTTCTCCCTCCCTCCCTCCCTCCCTCCCTCCCTCCCTCCCTCCCTCCCTCCCTCTGTGTCTCTCTTTCTCTCTGTCTCTGTCTCTCCCATCCTCTCTCTCTCTCTCTCTCTCTCTCTCTCTCTCTCTCTCTCTCTCTCTCTCTCTCGTCTCTCTCTAGCCAGAGAATCTGTTGTATTACAGTATGGACGAGGACTCTAAGATCATGATCAGTGACTTTGGCCTGTCTAAGATCGAGGACACAGGCAGTGTCATGTCTACAGCCTGTGGGACCCCAGGATACGTGGGTAAGAGATCTGTGCGTGCAAGAGTGTGTGTGTTTGTGCGTGTGGGTGTGCGTGCATGATCTCTCTCGCTACCCACCCCTCTCTCTCTCTCTGATCCATTCACAGCCTCATCTGAAGCATGCCATTTATATTGGAGTGCTATTGTGTCAACTGTTAGTCCTTCAAAAGCTCTCTCTGTCTTTCTCTCTGTGTGTGTGATGTAACCCACTAGAGCACTGATTGAGAGGGTAAAACACGAACTTCAATGGACTCTGTCTCAATCAGCCCCTCTCTGTCTTTCTGTCACTCTCTCCCTCTGTCTTTCTCCCTCTCTGCACCTCTGTTTTTCACAGAGTCCCTTTCCATTTCTGTTTCTCTGTCTCGGTCTCTCCATCTCTATCTTTCTCACCCTCTCTTTCTTCCTCTCTCCTCCTCTGACTTTGTGGTTTCTTGTTGTTGGCAGCTCCTGAGGTGTTGGCTCAGAAACCGTACAGCAAAGCAGTAGACTGCTGGTCCATCGGAGTCATCTCCTACATTCTGTAAGTCATCTGCTTGTCCTCTAACACAAATTCAGTGTCTCATATTCTGTGTACTGGTGCTTGTGCATTTAAAAATCTGTTATAGAGCACTCGCTAGAGCAGCTCGTTCCAAATGTTCTAAAATTCTAAAATGGTTCTGTCCATGTCCTTCAATGATTTTCACACCCCCACATTATTTCGGAGTTGGTATGGTCCATCTGTGGCTGGGACTCTTGGCACTTAATAGCAGTGATATTATATATTTCAATTGGATATCTTATTAGCTGGGTTCGATGTATGGAGCAATAAGTGTTACCTCATGTCATATGAACTCTTTCAGGTTGTGTGGATACCCTCCGTTTTACGACGAGAACGATGCTAAGCTGTTTGAGCAGATACTGAAGGCAGAGTATGAGTTTGACTCTCCTTACTGGGATGACATCTCCGATTCAGGTATCTTAAACCCCCTTTTCTTTCTCTTTTTGATAATAGAAAAAAGTCAGAGGATCATACAAAAAAACACAATGAAAGCATGAATCCTTTTCAATGATCTGCACTCGTTTCAAAGACATAGATTACATTGGACTGTGAATGAATACCATGTCTACTTTGTGGGGATTTGTAAGCCTTTGGTTATACTGTATTGTACACTATATATACACAAGTATGTGAACACCCCTTCAAATTAGTGGATTCAGCTATTTCAGCCACACCTGTTGCTGACAGGTGTATAAAATCGAGCACACAGCCATGCAATCTCCAGAAACAAACATTGGCAGTAGAATGGCCTTACTGAAGAGCTCAGTGACTTTCAACGTGGCACCGTCATAGGATGACACCTTTCCTTAAAGTCAGTTTGTCCAATTTCTGACCTGCTAGAGCTGCCCCATTCAACTGTAAGTGCTGTTATTGTGAAATGGAAACGTCTAGGAGCAACAACTGCACAGCCACGAAGTGGTAGGCCACACAAGCTAACAGAACAGGATCACGAGTGCTGAAGCGCGTAAAAATCCAAACTACCTCTAGAAGCAACGTCAGCACAATAACTGTGGAGGCTGTTATAGCAGCAAAGGGGGGGGCCAACTCCATATTAATGCCCATGATTTTGGAATTAGATGTTCGACGAGCAGTTGTCCACATACTTTTGTTCATGTAGTGTATCTGGAGATAGTGTAAATTGGTAATGAGTCAACAATGTGAATGTTCAGTAATGATTTGAAACTGTTTTGATTAATTCCAGCTAAAGACTTTATCTGTCACCTGATGGAGAAAGACTTCATGAAGAGATATACCACTGATCAAGCACTTCAACACCCCTGGTACTACAAGCTTTCCCCAACCACAACCACAACCCTAGCTCCAACCCCAACCCTAACCCTAGCTTCATGTCCACATCCTGGTTCAACCCTAACCCTGACCACAACCCCAACCCTAGCTTTATGTCCACATCCCGGTTCAACCCTGACACCAACCCTAAACCTAACTTCATCTCCATATTCCAGTACAACCATAACCTCAGCTTAGGTTTAGGTTGAGGTTTATCTGAACATCTTGGTTCATATGCAGAAACATACAGGTAACTGCCAAAATATACGAAACACCAACATAAAGTGTCTTAATAGGACGTTGGGCCACCACGAGCCACCAGACCAGCTTCAATGCACCTTGACATGGATTCTACAAGTGTCTGGAACCCTATGAGGATGAGACAATATTCTTCCACGAGAAATTCCATAATTTGGTGTTTTGTTGATGGTGGTGGAAAACGCAGTATCAGCCGCCGCTCCAGAATCTCCCATAAGTGGTCAGTTGGGTTGAGATCTAGTGACTGAGACACACACACCCTTTAAACCTCCTATGGTCCTTTGGGACCCCTCTTTCACAGTCACTGAGGTCTCTTCTTCTAGTCATGGTAGCCAAAATAATGGGCAACTGGGCATTTTTATACATGACCCTAAGCATGATGGGATGTTAATTGCTTAATTAACTCAGGAACCACACCTGTGTGGAAGCACCTGCTTTCAATATGCTTTGTATCCCTCATTTACTGAAGTGTTTCCTTTATTTTGGCAGTTACCTTTACATAAAATGCGATGTCGTACAAAAATATGAAAAGAAAACAAGTAAAATGTATGATCAGCCTAACTCTATGAACAGTGCATCATCAATAAGTGATAAGTCATAAACAACAAATTGGCATACCACCAAATCAATAAATATGCATATCAATGTCTTTAGTGATATACCAATACATTTGCATAGTTTGAGAGCTCTTGGCAAGAAAGAACTCTGGTTGTTGCAAAAGAGTTTTGCCAACTCAGATCATACTGTCTCTGTACAGTAGGGGTTAGAAACTTGTGCAGTGGACTTATGTGTTCATGCAAGAGTGCTTTGAAGGTCTTGACTGTGGCTTCATCCCGTCTGCTCTCCAGAGATGGGAGTGAGTTGTAGGGAGTGCCAATAATGCGGCAGCAACGTCTCTGAATGCGTTCTAAGACCTTAGAGGGACACTTCAACCCCCAAGCCCTTCAATGCATTCTCGCGTAATGTTCAGGCTGGTTTAACCAGGCTAGGATGCTTACGTTCCACAACTCAACCTGCTCTCTCTCTTATATCGCTCTTTTCTGGTTTGCAGGATCTGTGGAGACACAGCTCTTGATAAAAACATCCATGAGTCTGTCAGTGCTCAGATCAAGAAGAACTTTGCTAAAAGTAAATGGAAGGTCAGTGGCTCAATATTACAGCTCTGATTACACTTATGTTCTTACCTACTATCTGTCTCTCTGTCCTCTCTTTCTCATTTAAATGGTTCCTCAGTTTTTTATGGTGGTTGGATAAATCACTGTGCATTTCTCACCTTCAGCTCTCTCTCTCTCAACCCCTTCCTCTTCTCTTCCACCCCCCTCTTTCTCCGCTCTCTCCCTCCCTTTCTCTCCCCCTTTCCCCACTACCCCATCACCCCTTTCCCCCCATACAGCAAGCGTTCAACGCCACAGCGGTGGTGAGACACATGCGGAGACTGCAGCTGGGTAGCAGCCTAGAGGGCCCCAGCCAGATCACCCCCACCAGCCCCTGTCACGCCCAAGCACTCCTGCTGCGGGAGGAGGACGAGGAGGAGGAGGAGGAGGAAGAGGGACCAGGGGTAGAGGAGGAGAGCTGTAAGTGAGACAAACACTGAGGCTTTCCCCCACTCAGCCAGACACCTCTCTCTCCCTCACTCACTCTCACTCTTTCTATCTCTGAACACATAGCCAACAGTAGTGTAGCCTCTGAGCACGTACAGTGCTGTGTACAGTACTCTAATGGTACTTTAGTAGTACAGTACTCTAGTCACAGGAGGCTGCTGAGGGAAGAACGGCTCATAATAATGGCCGGGGCGGAGCAAATGGAATGGCATCAAACACCTGTAAACCATGTGTTTGATACCATTCTACTGATTCCGCTCCAGTCATTACCACGAGCTCGTTCTCCCCAATTAAGGTGTCACCAACCTCCTGTGACTCTAGTACAGCACTGTGGAGTACTGTCCCTGTCATCAAGTTCTCCTCTCCTCTCCTCTCCTCTCCTCTCCTCTCCTCTCCTCTCCTCTCCTCTCCTCTCCTCTCCTCTCCTCTCCTCTCCAGTGTCTCACTGTGAGGATGGGCAGCGACGTGGGAGTGCAGAAGGCAGTGCAGACCGGGACAGTCTGAGGAGTTGCACCTACTGCTGCAGGCCAGCAAGTCGTGTCTGAGTGGCCACAGACCCCGCCCCTCTGTCGCCATGGGGATGCGTACGTTTCTATGGAGCCACCCAGAGCCCGCCCAGTCTGGTCAAGAATACAGAGTGATGTTATGACAGGCTGTGTCCACTAGAGGGACACAACCAGCCAGGCACGGTTTCGAGGCACAAAATACCATTTGTTTCCATATCACTGAGACCAATACCAGTTCATCATCAACATTCAAACCACTACTACTTTCTTCCTTCCATTGTAATGTTTATTTTTCTTCTTCTAATGTTCCACTTGGATCATGAATCATCCGTATCTTACCTGTGTTTGTTTCAGTTTTGATGCTAACAGCCCCATCAGAAACACTTCAGAGTTTGAGTAAATTGACTGCTGGACTCTGGATTGACTCTGTATTCTGGCTCAGACTGGGGTCGTAAAAAGCGCTTCTGGTTCGAGGCATCTGCATGCTTCGGTTGGATGATAAAATGTGAAATGTATGGATATAAAAGGGAGACTTAAAAAATCATCTCATGGCTGTTCTGTTACCAGAGGTTCACACTGAGATCCCTATGACAACAAATGGACCTTATAGCCTATCAGAATAATCCTATACACCCTCTCAGCCAATGAGCATGTCCATAGTAACCACACCCACTTAAAATGTGAGTTGGGGCACAGGGTTTGATGTTGAGACCATTGCAGTTAGGAGTAGTTTGCAAATATACTCCACTTGATAGGGAATCAAGTCAGTTGTATGCATGACATTTCTATCTGCAAAGGTCCCTAAATGTTATGATCATTTAAACGTGCCGCCGATTTTACACACCTGTCCTTCGTGGTGGGAGGGATCTCAGTGTGTGTTCTCTGTCTGCTCTGTACTGTGCACCTCTCTCGTGGAAGAAGTATCGGTCTACCGTCTGCATGACCTGGTTATAATATGTTTACATGAATGATGATCAACATATAAATATTTAAAAAACACACGTGTATGATTATTATTACTACTCTGTTGTCCTGATTTAAAAAAAATAATAATGTAATTCTGAAAACTATATAATGTGAAGTGAGAATCACCAGTCAGACGTTCTGTTGTTAACAACGTACGTACGTGCAGGACAGTCTGAACTGTAACTGTAATTTTACCTTAACCTCTGCATTGACCATATGATGGTCATATCTCTACCCCAGTGGCACACTGACACCATTTCCCTGGTAACCATGTTGATTTAGTTTAAATTACAACTCTAGGATGTACTATACGTTGTTGTGGGAGTCTATTTATTTGTAATTTTGTTCACTTAAAGTTTTGTAGTCTGTCTCAACCTACTGAATAGTCCCTGACCCCTCCCTTGCCCTGGTACTGTGTAAAAGTTTTGATTGTAACATAAAACATGTTGAGTGAACACGACATACCTGAGTTAAAATACTATTTGAAATCTTTCAAATACTTTGAGCATTTGCTTAGGAGTGGAACGATAAACCAGTTCTCTAACTGCGATTACAAGACAGAATGCAGTCTGGTTTGAAAATCTCAAAGTACAGTGTTACTTGCTATGATTACGGTTTCAACACATCAATAAGGCTGACAATGGAAAGCCAACTCAGTAGGCCTATTATGATCTGTTTTGTTCACGCCTAACTGCTGTTCGGATTGGATACAAAATCCTTATTGTTTAGTTGAATCAGAGGTACTACTAGCCAAAACCTTATAGTTGGATCTGGTTTAGGCCAATGATGACCTGTGTTTGGTCCTTAGCAGTGACTTCATAAGGTTATAATTGGTCAAAAGATGTTGGGCAGTCATAGAAGGCAATCATTCTGGCTTTACAAGTGACTGACTGACTGCAGAGTGGAAAATATGCAAACGGTGTGTGAAGGGCTTCATGTTATATGTTTGGTGTAGTTTCTTTAGATGACTTCATTAACCTAATAACCTGTGTTCATTTGTTTGGTATAGACCTTCTGTTGAACCTTTCCTTGGTTTTGTTTCCCCTTGGTTCCGATTTGTTAAAAAATAGATATATATTTGACTCATAACAAACACATTTAAATGCATAAAGAAACACGTGTATATTATATATATAAGTATATATATATATATATATATATATATATATATATTGTATATCCTTTTTTGTAAAAGCTGTTTTGAGCTACTAATGTATGGATGCAATGCATCATGGGTTATTGATCAACATGTATGAAAGGAGATAATGATTTGTACCATCGGAGGAGATATGATCGCAGGAAAAGAAATAAAACTTCCTTGTCTATGCATTGTGTGTCCTGTCATTTTACTGTAATTTGTTTTATTCAGTCATGGTCGCGTTCATTAGTCACCAAACAGAAGAAAACAGACAAACAGGGAGGGACTACACTTTAATTTTCTGTTTTTAAAAATGTTACTGAATGGTGAGGGTCAAGTTATGTTATAATAATACCATTAGTTATACAGTACATGTGTTTTATTCTGCCATCTGATGGGGCAGTATATACTGCACCTCAGTGTGTATAATAGTATGGTACAATGGGATGCTGTCTTACACTTGCGTCCAGATAAAATATAAAATGCACTTTATTTATTAATGTTTAATATCCCTTTTTATTTATGACAAAGTACAAATGTGTCCAAGGACACTGTCATCTAAAGTGTTAAACATTATTCACTGTTGTCAGTAGGTGAATTATTTATGTTCTGTTGATTTGCATAGAGAATGTGTACGTGAGAGGCTCGGGGAAAGACCGGACGGAACCATTATTTAAGAAATAACCGTCTTAGACCAGTTGTAAAACTGCTAATAATATAATATATAAAATGACTGGACATTTACGACAGGTAAAAAATACTGTAAACGTATAAACAAACCATTAGGAAATGTAATATTATTATAGAAATACATCTACTGATACAGTATATCAACATATTCCATGAATGTCTGCTAAATGACGTAAATGTAAATGTAAAATGAATACAATCACAATCTGAACACTTGATAGGCATGAAATTACAAACGTCACATTCACTCATTGTATGTAACTCAGTAAGATCCCTGCTAAAGGGGTGCTCTCTCTCTCTCTCTGTGTCAGAGGCATGAGAGACAAATTACTAATCTAACGTCAAGTCTCTCAGAGGATGGGAGGTGCCAGCCACATCCCAGATCTGTTTGTGCTGTATAGCCAGGTCATTGTCATGCAAGACAACAAACAGATCTGGGACCAGGCTAGCAGGGAGTCGATCCCTAATTGGAACAAATAAAGATGTGCTTCAAAGGTAAATTGGACAAGGGGTGGTTACCTTCAGGCAGTAGGCTCTTTCGGAGAAGACAAGTGTCCGAGGACAGGTTCAGGTACCAATCTGCACCATGCATGCATCTATCTGTACTCCCATGCAGCTGAACTATGCCAAGCATACTATCCCACCAACTTCAACCCAATCGAATAGCTCAATGTCACACAATCTTCCTTCACCTTCACTTGCTACACCTCCATGTAGTCACGTATCCACACCCTCCTATCTATCCACACCTCATGTAGATGCTCCAACAACCCCATGCCACTCTAACCATACTTTACACATCTTCCTGTCAGTCATTTTAAACTACCTTCTCCCCCACATCCAGTATGGTGGTGCGTCTCAGGCTCTCTTTAACTCTGATGAACTCTGGGGAACTCTGCAGGCCCTCCTGTTGTTGTTGTGCCTTTAGCTCCCTCTCCAGCTGCAGGGAACAGATGGACACTGACAGTCATTGAATACAGGAGTAGATTGGAATGCATGTAAAGTTCGCAGGAACTGAATATCATGTCTGCTTTGACCCTATCATACATTTTAATAATGAGCATTGTATGTAAATGAGCTAGTAATGCATGAGTGAAGCTGTGTGCAATGTAAATCATGTCAACTTTGACAAATCAGACAGACGGAAAGCAAGGGTTTGGATTCAAGCCTTATCGCCAAAGAATCGTGGAAGCTCTGTGTTCAAAGTTGCCGACATATGCAGCATTTACCGTGAATGCAGTCTCTGCGACGTTGACATGAAGCATACTAACCTCCTCCAGCCTCTGGTGCCTCTTGAACAGTTCCTGTTGGAGAGGAGACCTGTTCTTCTTCTCCTCCTCTGCCTCTCTCCTCTGTTTCATCCCCTGTTCCCAGTTCCTCTGTTCCAGAACACGCTGGAGCTCCGGCTTCACCTCCAGACAGGGACCTCTGACAGAGAACAATTAGGATAGTTAAAGTGTGTGCGTGTTCATATCTATGTGCAGCATGTGTGCATGGGCTACCTCTTGTGTGTCATCCTTAATTCCCTGTGGAGCTCCTGGTGGCTCTTGGAGACTCTGACCGGGTTGAGGCGCTTCTTGGGCTGGATGATAAGATCCCTGCCCTCCTCCTCCTGACTCTCTGGCTGAGGTGGTGATCCACCTGACTTCCCATGCTCTTTGTCCTCTGCACATTGACCCTGACCCTGCTCTCCATCCTGTTCTGACAGCAGGCCAGAGTGGGCTGAGGCTGGGGGACAGAGACAAAGTCAACTTGAATGTTTTGCCGGAGCTCACATCCTCGTCTTTAAAACAAGCCTCATATTAGACAGGAGCAGAAATGATGATAGAGGTTACATCACTTAGTAACATTACACAACTAAAATCATGTCCCTTTTCCGCTGGCAAGACACACTCCAGTTGCATCACAGCAGCAGAATCAGCTAAACAGGTCATTTTGTTCTGTTTATAGCACCACAGCTGTTTGTTATGGGAGATAGGTCAGTTATGGTGTGTTAAGCTTATTTTCTATTCCTTGGCATGGGCAACAGTGATGCATTAGTAGCCTAGCCCTAGATCTGTTTGTGCTGTCTTGCCAACTCCTATGGTTATTGACATGGGAAACATCATAGGAGTTGGCTATACAGCACAGGCAGATCTGGGACCAAGCTAGGGCATTACCTTTCTCCATATCAGAACTACATAGCAAAACAGGTGTCCTATTTTACCAGCTCAGCATGCACATTTTCTGTGGTTATACATTTCACTATCAAACTCCAAGGACCATATTTACAAATAGTTGGCATTTTTGCATAAATACAAAGTTTGCCTCCGTGATTTTCAAGAGGGATTGAAACATGATCGTCAACACCCATCAACCCAATATCGAATCATTCATGTATGTATAAATGAATGATGTACTCACAAACCCAACACATGATGCCCTTTTTACACCCATCATCAATCACTTCCTATGCAGTTGCTTCTCTCACTGTGAAATTATCTATAGGTCCCTTACCTGACTTGACCAGTCCCTCTCTCTGCCTCCCTGGTGTCCTGTTTGGGATGACACTGCTAGTATCCATCTCTTCTATGGAGCCCAGGGCCCAGCTAGTGATAAGTAAGCTAGCAAAGCTATCACTGGCACTATGAATCCAGAGCTCTGGCCAAAGCTGGGCTGGGTCTGGGAGCCTACCACTACAGCCACTCCCTGTTCCACTACCCTAACACCTCTGTCTCCATCCCACCTCAGCCCCACCTCCAGCCCTGGCCACACCGCTAGCCGCCAGTCAGTCACATGACCGCTCAGGTCGTCCTGTAGCCTCACTATTGTCCCCTCTCTCTCCATACATTGTCTCCCCTCCTCCCCTCTTTCTCTCGTCCTCTCCTCTCTCCCTCCTCTACCCTCTCTCCCTTCCCTTCCCTCCTCTACCCCCTCTCCCTCCTCTAACCTCTCTCCCTTCCCTTCCCTCCCCTCCTCTCCCCTCTCTCCCTCCTCTACCCTCTCCCCCCTCTACCCTCTCTCCCTCCTCTCTCCCCCCTCTACCCTCTCCCCCCTCTACCCTCTCTCCCCCCTCTACCCTCTCTCCCTCCTCTCTACCTCCTCTCCCTTCTCTCCCTTCCCTCCCCTTCGCTTTGTGACTTTCATCCTGCCCCTCTCTTTCTCCCCTCCTCTCTCCCTCCACTGTCCCTCCCTCCACTCTGCTCCGTGCCTCCACTCTAGGTTGGATTATCCAGGGGCTCAAGCCCCGCCCTGTTTAAATCTCCTCACCAGAAACCAACCGCCGGACCTAAACTCAGCAAAAAAAGAAACGTCCCTTTTTCAGGACCCTGTCTTTCAAAGATAATTCGTAAAAATCCAAATAACTTCACAGATCTTTATTGTAAAGGGTTTAAACACTGTTTCCCATGCTTGTTCAATGAACCATAAACAATTAATGAACATGTACCTGTGGAACGGTCGTTAAGACACTAACAGCTTACAGACGGTAGGCAATTAAGGTCATGGTTATGAAAACTTAGGACACTAAAGAGGCCTTTCTACTGACTCTGAAAAACACCAAACGAAATATGCCTAGGGTCCCTGCTCATCTGCATGAACGTGCCTTAGGCATGCTGCAAGGAGGCATGAGGATTGCATATGTGGCCAGGGCAATAAATTGCAATGTCCGTACTGTGAGACGCTTAAGACAGCGCTACAGGGAGACAAGATGGACAGCTGATCGTCCTCGCAGTGGCATACCACGTGTAACAACACGTGCACGGGATCGGTACATCCAAACATCACACCTGCGGGACAGGTACAGGATGGCAACAACAACTGCCCGAGTTACACCAGGAATGCACAATCCCTCCATCAGCGCTCAGACTGCCCGCAATAGGCTGAGAGAGGCTGGACTGGGGGCTTGTAGGCCTGTTGTAAGGCAGGTCCTCACCAGACATCACCGGCAACAACGTCGCCTATGGGCAAAAACCCACCGTCGCTGGATCAGACAGGACTGGCAAAAAGTGCTCTTCACTGACGAGTCGCGGTTTTGTCTCACCAGGGGTGATGGTCGGATTCGCGTTTATTGTCGAAGGAATGAGCATTACACCGAGGCCTGTACTCAGGAGCAGGATCGATTTGAAGGTGGAGGTCCGTCATGGTCTGGGGCAGAGTCAGCAATCTCAACGCTGTGCGTTACAGGGAAGACATTCTCCTCCCTCATGTGGTACCCTTCCTGCAGGCTCATCCTGAAATGACCATCCAACATGACAATGCCACCAGCCATACTGCTCGTTCTGTGCGTGATTTCCTGCAAGACAGGAATGTCAGTGTTCTGCCATGGCCAGCGAAGAGCCCGGATCTCAATCCCATTGAGCACGTCTGGGACCTGTTGGATTGGAGGGTGAGGGCTAGGGCCATTCCCCACAGAAATGTCTGGGAACTTGCAGGTGCCTTGGTGGAAGAGTGGGGTAACATCTCACAGAAAGAACAGGCAAATCTGGTGCAGTCCATGAGGAGGAGACGCACTGCAATACTTAATGCAGCTGGTGGCCACGCCAGATACTGACTGTTACTTTTGACCCCCCCCCCTTTGTTCAGGGACACATTATTCAATTTCTGTTAGTCACATGTCTGTGGAACTTTTTCAGTTTTTGTCTCAGTTGTTGAAACTTGTTATGTTCATACAAATATTTACACATGTTAAGTTTGCTGAAAATAAACACAGTTGACAGTGAGAGGATGTTTCTTTTTTTTGCTGAGTTTATTTACACAATTACACCCATCACAATATGGTTGGGGATTTACAGTATCACAAAGCACCTCCACACACCTCATAGTAGATACACACCGCAGGCTGGTGTCCCAGACGCAGATTATGTCTAGTCCCGGACTAGGAAGGACTTTCAATGGAGATTCTCCATTGAGCATGCTTTTTCTGTCCAGGACTAGGCTTAATCTGTGTCTGGGATAACTGCCCTACATCTTCATTGTCTAATGACAATACAGGTAGATGTTCAGTGATCTATTCTTCTTCTATTCTTATCGGATAACAGATTGATTGTTCTCACCTGTTCCATTCAGAGGTGTTGTACTTCTCGTGGGAGAGAGTTGGAGGTGGTGTTCACTCTGTCAACAGGTAAAACACAATCAACCACATGAGAAACTGTCAGACGCTTCATGTCACCGATGTTGTCATCACAATAAGACCAAAGAATACAGTAGTATGTATCACAGTATTGTCACCCCGCCCCCCTCTCCCCCCCCTCCCTCCCTCCTCCTCTCCCTCCCTCTCCCTCCCCCCCTCTCCCCCCCCTCTCCTCTCCCCTCCTCCCTCTCTCTCCCCCCCTCCCTCCCTCTCTCTCCCCCCCCTCCTCCCTCCCTCCCTCTCCTCTCCCCTCTCCCCCCTCCCTCCCTCCTCCCTCCCCCCTCCCTCCCCTCTCTCCCCCCTCCCCCTCCTCCCCCCTCCCTCCCTCTCTCTCCCCCTCCCTCCCTCCCTCCCTCCTCCTCTCCCCCCCTCCCTCCCTCCCTTCCCTCTCTCTCCCCCTCCCCCTCCCTCCCTCCCTCTCTCTCCTCTCCCTCCCACCCCCCTCCCTCCCTCCCTCTCTCTCTCCATCTCCCCCCCTCCCTCCCTCCCCTCTCCCCCTCCCCCTCTCTCCTCTCTCTCCGCCACCCCTCTCCCCCCTCTCTCCCTCTCTCCTCTCTCTCCCCCCTCCCTCCCTCCCCTCTCCCGCCCTCTCTCTCCTTCCTCTCTCCCTCCTCCTCCTCGTCAATCCCCCTCCCCCTCCTCTACTCCCCGCCCCTCTGCCTCCCTCTCCTCTCCCTCCTCCTCTCCCCCTCCCCCCCTCCTCTCTCTCCCTCTCCCCCTCCCCCCCCCCTCCCCCTCCTCCCTCCCCTCCCTCTCCCCCCTCTCCCTCCCTCTCTCTCTCCCTCCCCCTCGTCCTCTCTCTCTCCTCTCCCCCCTCTCCCCCTCTCTCCCCCCTCTCTCCCCCTCCCCTCATCTCCCCCTCTCTCTCGCCCCTCTCCCCTCCCCTCCTCCCTCTCCTCCTCGCTCTCCTCCTCTCTTCCCCCGCCTCTCTCTCCCTCTCCCCCTCCCCTCCTCCTCTCTCTCCTCCTCCCCCTCTCCCCTCTCCCCCCTCCCCCCTCCTCTCCTCCCCCTCCTCCTCCTCCTCTCTCTCTCTCCCCCTCCTCCCTCTACCTCCCCCTCCCTCCCCCCTCCTCTCTCCCCTCCTCCTCCCTCTCCTCTCTCCCCCCTCCTCCCCCTTCCCTCCCTCTCTCTCCCTCCCCTCCCTCCCCTCTCCCCCTCCTCCCTCCTCTTCCCCCTCTCCCCCCTCCTCTCCTCTCCTCTCTCCCGCCCCTCCTCCCTCCCCTCCCCCTCCTCTCTCTCCCTCTCCCCCCCTCAGCCCCTCCCTCCTCCCTCTCTCTCCCTCCCCCCTCTCCCCCTCTCTCCCCCTCCCCCCCCTCCCCCCTCTCCCTCCGCCCTCTCTCTCTCCCTCCTCCCTCTCTCCTCTCCCCTCTCTACCCCCCCCCCCCCTCTCTCCCCCTCCCCTCTCTCCCCCTCCCCCCTCTCCCCTCTCTCTCCCTCTCCCCTCCCCCCCCTCTCTCCCCCCCCCCTCCTCCATCCCCCTCCCCCTCTCTCCTCCCTCTCTCTCCCCTCTCTCCCCCTCTCCCTCTCTCCCCCTCTCTCCCTCTCTCACCCTCTCTCTCCCCCTCCCCCTTTCTCTCACAGTAATACCATGTTTTTCACAAATATTTTGAATGGTCTAATTTCGAGGATGTCTATCATGAGGTGATCACAGATTACTCATTTTGTCCCAATGGACAATCAGCTCAACAATGGTCCTTTGTTGTTTGTGTTAGACCAGACGTGAAGGGGCAGTTACAGACCCAGAAGACCAGTGAACCAAGAGGAGAGGAGAGAAGAGGCCCTTGTGGAGGCCTGCCATACACCTCATTACTGACAAACCCACAAACAACAGGCCTTAGTTACTGCGCAATAACTTTCATGACAACATTTTTAAAATACAGTATAAAGCCTTGTTTAGAGGAGCAATACACACTCAATGGCCAGTTTTCCATCTAGTACCGGGTCAGACCCCCATTTGCCTCCAGAACAGCCTGAATTCTTTGGGGCATGGAAACGTTATTCAATTGGTATCAAGGGACCTAACGTGTTCCAGGAAAACATTCCCCTCACCATTAAACCACCGCCACCAGCCTGTACCGTTGACACCAGGCAGGATGGGGCCATGGACTCATACTGCTTACACCAAATCCCAACTCTGCCATCAGCATGACACAACAGGAATCGGGGTTCGTCGGACCAGGCGTTGTTTTTCCACTCCTCAATTGTCCAGTGTTGGTGATACCATGCCCAATGGAGCCGCTTCTTCTTGTTTTTAGCTGATAGGAGTGGAACTGGGTGTGGTCGTCTGCTGCAATAGCCCATCTGTGACAAGGACCGTCGACTTGTGTGTTCCGAGATGCCATTCTGCACACAACTGTTGTACTGCACTGTTATTTGCCTGTTTGTGGCCCAGCTGTTAGTTTGCCATTCTCCTTCGACATCTCATCAACAAACTGTTTTCGCACACAGGACTGCCGCTGACTGGACGTTTTTTTGTTTGTCGCACCATTCTCGGTAAACCCTAGACACTGTAGTGTGTGAAAAGCCCAGGAGCCTGGCCGTTTCTGAGATAGTGGAACTGGCGCGCCTGGCACCGACGATCAGACCACGCTCAAAGTCGCTTAGGTCACTCGTTTTGCCCACTCTAACGTTCAATCGAACAGTAACTGAATATCTCGATGCCTGTCTGCCTGCTTTATATAGCAAGCCACGGCTACGTGACTGTCTGTAGGAGCAAACCATTTTCGTGAAGGTCCCTAATAAACTGGCCACTGAGTGTATTTTATATTAAATCCTGCTGCTGGACATACTGCTGCTACAGATTACAAGCAAGTCCAATATTGTTTTAAATTAAAGCTAAACAGAATGGTTCATTGCAATCAGCTACATGTACATCTGTTGCATGAGACGGAGGTCAGCCAGACAGCATCTCTTATGGCCTGAGTTTGGAGGATCTTTGCCCCTTCAAAAGGCCAGCATACAAATAGTTCAAAGAAAGGAAATCTGCATTTCAAACAATGATAAAGCCTCACCACCACTGATTTGGTAAACAGCTGAGAGATGGGGCTGGAGAAATGTAACCACTCTAAAAACTAATGGACAGAGCTATGGATACAAGGACTGATATCAAAATGATAGTTTTGACTATCTCATACGGATTGAATAGAGACACATGTTTTGAGGCTATACAGTGTTTGTTTACATTTACAGTACATTGTTTACAAACAAAGAAGTAAAACAAGCTTATATTTTGGTATGACAATTTAATGTAAGCTCATGAGGCATCTATAAGTTGTATTATTTAAAAAAATCAATGGGTATATATCACTATTTTAAAAGTAAAAAAATGTATGTAGCCATAGCAGGTAGCCCCTGTAATATTTAATGCAAACATAACTTTATACACAGCAACTCAGTCTACCTATTGGCAGTGGTGTGCTGCTATTTTAAGCTTCTTTGTCATTTTGTCCTGATCCACCACCACAAATGACTAAATTGAAATGGTATTGACCCCCAACCCTGATACTAACATGATCAGCTACTGACTAAGGGAGTGAATGTTATTCATTATAAGGATTACAGGGAGAAAATCGGACCTCTGAAATGAAAATGGATGGAAATTTGCAAAGAAACTGCCCTTGTTCGCAAATAATTAAATCTGAGACATCATTAGGAATCTGAGCATGGTACTTTCAAAAGTTAGGCCTAATTTTCCACCCCAGACAGTAGGCCTACCGATGCAGAAAAATGTAAGCTTTAACTGCCGGATGCAGAAAAATGTAAGTTTTAACTGCCGGCTACTCTTGGCTTAACCCAATGAGAGAAGGTCACAAGTGTTTTCCTAATAGCTGTCTGTTTAAATATCTTCTACTGGACAGAAAGTGAATAGCTTCATCAATTGATAGTGACAGAATTAGATTACTTTCCAAACAAAGTCATGTTTTTGTCTCCTCGGCTATAGAAGGTCGTAGCTCAGCCTATGAATGTCAAAGAAACGAAGCAATGATATCCCCATATGCAACGGAGTCAAGTCTTTCTCTGGTATTTTACAGCTTGTTTGTAGCATAAAGCATCACAGACCAAAGCACTGTTATAGATCACTTTATATAATCAGATCTGTTTTATTTTCATAAAAATCTTTGATTGCACTGCGGCTGCTGCTTCATGTTTCAGCACCACAATGTACGTTACTTGAATCTGACTTATTGTGAGGTCAATAACTCTGATAAACACATCATTGGTTAAACTCAAATATACTAATTTATAAAATTAGTCCCCTGTAGCTCAGTTGGTAGAGCATGGAGCTTGCAACGCCAGGGTTGTGGGTTCGTTTCCCACGGGGGGCCAGTATTAAAATGTATGCACTCACTAACTGTAAGTCGCTCTGGATAAGAGCGTCTGCTAAATGACTAAAAACGTAAAAATAAAAAACATTATTGTTTAAAAAAAGGTATAATCTTTGTAAATGTTATCATAGGTAGGACTGGTGCCTATAGGCACACTTGATATTGCACGCCCAGCGGAGAATCAGAGATGAGGGGTGGCATCACGCACACATCGATATATAGCCTAATAAGCAACTAGTTCTGAAACACTGAGAAATATTTAAATTTCATCAATTACAAATGACATGACCTTCCCCTGGACTAGATTTAAAAAATACTAAACCCTCCCCTTGACTGAAATTGAAAAAGCATGACCCTCCTCCATTTTACTCCAGGTAACCATTCTGTAAATTTGGATCCATCCCTAACAGGAGAAGAGTCTATGATCTTGTTGAGCCATAGTAATGTAATACTTCAGTTAAGGTAATACTAACATGATGTCATCTAATGAATATCAGGAGAGTGTAGTCTATGATCTTGTTGAGGTTTAGCAATAGCATCACTGTTCAAAGAGGAATTGACCCTGCTAATGAATATGAGGAGAGTATGTGTGTGTACATCTGGTTGAACTGTAGTAATGGCATCTCTGTTGGTTCACTGCTCTTTAGATAATGAGGTGGTATTGCCACTGATTGGCTAATCTCTGGGAGAGGATTTTGTGCGTAGACCACTAATGTGACATTAATGTGACACGACAGCAGGACCTTAGCTCTGGGGTAAACATGCTGCTCTTACTGGGTCTAGTCTACGTGTTGTTTCACACAGACACACAATTATTTTGGGTTACTTGGAGGTCCAGACAAAACATCCTGTCACTCTTTCAATTGCTGTCAGAATCTTTCAGAAGGTTCCCACTGGGTACAGACGTCAAATCAACATCTATTTCACGTTTGTTTCATCAGACCAGAGGACATTTCTCCAAAAAGTACGATCTTTGTCCCCATGTGCAGTTGCAAACCGTAGTCTGGCTTTTTTATGGCAGTTTTGGAGCAGTGGCTTCTTCCTTGCTGAGCGGCCTTTCAGGTTATGTCGATATAGGACTTGTTTTACCGTGGATATAGATACTTTTGTACCGGTTTCCTCCAGCATCTTCACAAGGTCCTTTGCTGTTGTTCTGGGATTGATTTGCACTTTTTGCACCAAAGTACGTTCATCTCTAGGAGACAGAACGCGTCTCCTTCCTGAGCGGTATGACGGCTGCGTGGTCCCATGGTGTTTATACTTGCGTACAATTTTTTGTACAGATGAACGCGGTACCTTCAGGCATTTGGAAATTGCTCCCAAGGATGAACCAGACTTGTGGAGGTCTACAAAAAATTTTCTGAGGTCTTGGCTGATCTCTTTTGATTTTCCCATGATGTCAAGCAAAGAGGCACTGAGTTTGAAGGTAGTCCTTGAAATACATCCACAGGTACACCTCCAATTGACTCAAATGATGTCAGTTAGCCTATCAGAAGCTTCTAAAGCCATGACATCATTTTCTGGAATTTTCCAAGCTGTTTAAAAGCACCGTCAATACACAATTATTTTGGGTTACTTGAAGGTCCAGACAAAACATCCTGTCACTCTTTCAATTGCTGTCAGAATCTTTCAGAAGGTTCCCACTGGGTACAGACGTCAAATCAACGTCTATTTCACGTTGGTTCAAAGTCATTTAATTGAAATGACGTGGAAACAACGTTGATTCAACCGGGGTGTGACCAGTGGGTTTCTACGGCTCATTTTAACCGTTAACAAGTTTGTAAATAGCCAGTGAAGCAACTCTGGCCAAAGAAGGAAACCAAAAGGTTCTGTAATTCTTTATTCTATGAAACAAGTTCTATGAAACATGTTCATTCAGAGACAAACATTAACTTTCAATCTGGTTGACGTTCAAAATATGAATAAGATTGAAAAACAATTGCCACAAGTTTTTTAGCTCACAAGTGTCATAGACCTTCAGACCTTTTTTGGGCTTACAGACACATCAAAGTTAATTAGAATAGTTGTTTAACATGCTAGTCTATTAACATAATGCATGCGTCATGCATGTCTCTGCCGCACCACCCTGCAAGCTGACCATGTGATCTGAGATTTGTCAGAATCCAGCATCGTGTCAAATCAGAAGTGAAGAAATGAGGAAGGAAACATAATAGTTACTTACTTTCTTTCCGTAGGTGACTCCCATGGCCTCAGGGTGAGCTGAGATCTTCAGCCAGAGTAGGTGAGTCTGTACAACTCCTGAAGTTTCACTTGTTCTGAAGTTTCACTAGAGCTGCTCTCTCTTGAACGAGAGGAGGGGGGAGGAATTCACTCCCCCAGGACCAATGACAAGTTGACAACCCTACCCTCGTCTAATGCGTGACACCAGTCTCTGAGAGGGCGCATTAAATCTAGGGGATTCCAAAGCCGATCATCACACCAAGCCCGTCAACAACCGAGAGCACCATAGAGGTCTGCCTCTTTAGGAGTGGGGGAGGAAGAGAGCCCAGAGAAAGAGAGAGGAGTGAGAAAGGGGGGGTATATGGGGAGAGGGGTGAGAAGGAAAGAAGGGAGGGGTTGATATTTTGGATGAGAGGGTAAGAGATTGCAGGGAAAGAAGAGAACTGAGACAGAGACAAAGGGAGGGAGAGATTAGATCATTAAGAAGAATAACGTCAAAGAAAAAAAACTCCTGACCACCTGTTCATGGGTAACCGGTGGACCCCACTCGCCCCTCTCCAAAGCTTAAGGGGGTCCAGGGTAGATTAGGTTAATTGAGGTTGATGGAGCAGCCGGTTGGCATACGGTAATGGGGGGCGTATTGGTGCTCTGTGCAGCCAGGGAGGGTGTAGCTGGCCACTACACCATTAATTTATCTATTTAACCTAAGTAATCCACTCACTAGCAGTTGCCACTGCTATCCAGGGAGTCCTTAGCCTGGGTGCCAGTCTTTTTCATTGTCATGCCAAACATGCTCATGTGTGGCATGACAATGAGTGACAAGGAATTCACATTATAGCACAAACAGATCTGGAACCAGGCTAGGGAGTCCTGGAAAACACCAACAACAGGGATTGGGTAGAGATAGACGGCAGCATGTGAGTCTTGGGTGTGTAAATATTGAGTCAACCAATGAGATGTGCCTCGCTCCCAAAATGTTGTGCAAGCACGCTAAACACAAAAGTGAATGAGGTAAGTAATTTCTCCAGGGCAAAGTCCGATGCTACACAAAAGACAGCGCATATCAAGTTAGGCCTGGGAGGGTTTATGACATACTAAACCTACAGTACAATTCATGAACTGTAGTTCAATAAAAAGCCCATAGAGGGAGCCCAAGCTTCATTATTACATTTGAAACAATAACTTCTCTCATTCCAAAAAATACATTCAATACATCTCTCGAATTTCTTATAAAAACATTATTTTATTGTTTTGCATACTTTGAAACTCCTCTATTTTGCACAAATTCTGTAACCATAATAATCTGACTTGAAAAAACACACAATGCCCAGCCTTTACAGAGAAGTTGTTCCTTATTGTTGAGTGATCCTAACAGTGGTTTGTTTAATCCTTCAAATCATCAAGCCAGTCTGGATCCCTTTCCATAGGATGTCTATCAAGGCCTGTACTTATAAAATGCCTCATAGTATGAGTGCTGATCCAGGATCTGTTTAGCCTTTTACATAATAATGAATAAGAATACATGGACAGGATAGACATGATTCTAGATCAGCAGTCCTACTCTGAGATCTCTGTATGGGATGTCTAGTCAGACCTTCTTGGGGAAGCAGCCGGCAATTTCCACCATCTCTGGCCAGTTTCCGTAAATATTGGCATTCTGATCATTGGCAGCCAGCTAAACAGTAGAAGATAGGAAATCATCAGACACTGTAGTTCCATCAAAGAACCTGTCACACTATATACAGTTGAAGTCGGAAGTTTACATACATCTTAGCCAAATACATTTAAACTCTGTTTTTCACAATTCCTGACATTTAATCCTAGTAACAATTCCCTGTCTTAGGTCAGTTAGGATCACCACTTTATTTTAAGAATGTGAAATGTCAGATAATAGTAGAGAGAATGATTTATTTCAGCTTTTATTTCTTTCATCACATTCCCAGTGAGTCAGAAGTTTACATACACTCAATTAGTATTTGGTAGCATTGCCTTTAAATTGTTTAACTGGAGTCAAACGTTTCGGGTAGCCTTCCACAAGCTTCCCACAATAAGTTGGGTGAATTTTGGCCCATTCCTCCTGACAGAGCTGGTGTAACTGAGTCAGGTTTGTAGGCCTCCTTGCTTGCAAACACTTTTTCAGTTCTGCCCACACATTTTGGGCTTCGTGATGGCCACTCCAATACCTTGACTTTGTTGTCCTTAAGCCATAACTTTGGAAGTATAATAATTGGGGTCATTGTCCATTTGGAAGACCCATTTGCGACCAAGCTTTAACATCCTGACTAATGTCTTGAGATGTTGCTTCAATATATCCACATAATTTTCCTTCCTCATGATGCCATCTATTTTGTGAAGTCCACCAGTCCCTCCTGCAGCAAAACACCCCCACAGCATGATGCTGCCACCCCCGTGCTTCACGGTTGGGATGGTGTTCTTCGGCTTGCAAGCAACCCCCTTTTTCCTCCAAACATAATGATGGTCATTATGGCCAAATAGTTCTATTTTTGTTTCATCAGACCAGAGGACATTTCTCCAAAAAGTACCATCTTTGTCCCCATGTGCAGTTGCAAACCGTAGTCTGGCTTTTTTATGGCAGTTTTGGAGCAGTGGCTTCTTCCTTGCTGAGCGGCCTTTCAGGTTATGTCGATATAGGACTTGTTTTACTGTGGATATAGATACTTTTGTACCTGTTTCCTCCAGCATCTTCACAATGTCCTTTGCTGTTGTTCTGGGATTGATTTGCACTTTTCGCACCAAAGTACGTTCATCTCTAGGAGACAGAATGCGTCTCCTTCCTGAGCGGTATGACGGCTGCGTGGTCCCATGGTGTTTATACTTGCGTACTATTGTTTGTACAGATGAACGTGGTACCTTCAGGAGTTTGGAAATTGCTCCCAAGGATGAACCAGACTTGTGGAGGTCTACAATTTTCTTTCTGAGGTCTGATTTCATTTGATTTTCCCATGATGTCAAGCAAAGAGGCACTGAGTTTGAAGGAAGGCCTTGAAATACATCCACTGGTACACCTCCAATGGACTCAAATGATGTCAGTTAGCCTATCAGAAGCTTCTAAAGCCATGACATCATTTTCTAGAATTTTCCAAGCTGTTTAAAGGCACCGTCAACTTAGTGTATGTAAACTGTTGACCCACCGGAATTGTGATACAGTGAATTATAAGTGAAATAATCTATCTGTAAACAATTGTTGGAAAAAGTACTTGTGTCATGCACAAAGTAGATGTCCTAACCGACTTGCCAAAACTATAGTTTGTTAACAAGAAATGTGTGTAGTGGTTGAAAAACTAGTTATAATGACTCCAACCTAAGTGTATGTAAACCTAATTAATTAATACCATCTGCTTTATTACAATAGTAGAGAGAGCTTATAGGTATTCAGTTACACAGTACTATAGTATATACTACTACAGTATAGACAGTACTAATGTACAGTAGTATTGTAAAAGATGTGCTGGACAGAATAAGGACTTTATATTGATTGATCTTGATATTTATAGTAGACAGTGTCGATGCTACAGATGCTCTCTCACCTTCTCAAAGGGGCTTTTCTGTTCTGTCCCAGCGCCTCCAGCAAAGACCCAGTTGTCTCTGAATTTGACATCCTTGATACTGCTGCTTCCCAGTCCCACAAATATGTCCCTGATTTCATCATTCATCCTGAGGAGAGATTGAGGGTCAGAGTGGATGTGTGACTGTTCTAATTTGAAAATAGGATGTAAAATGAATGTTGATTTATGAACGTGTTAATTTATTTAAACCAGAAATGGGCACCGATATGGAAAATCTATGTCAATATCAGTTGCATTTTCTTTCTCGATACAATATCATATCGGTTTGCAAAAAAACAACATTACAACTGTCTCTGCTCTGGGAAGTCCAGACAGCTGTTTGCTGTTTGCCCATTGGAACAGGTGTGAATGTTCTGGGAACCTACCCACCCAGTCTGAATACAATGGGAGGCCCATCTACTGGTGATGACTCAGCAGGCATGCTAAGTATACAGCCTGTGAGAAGGTCTGTGAGAGGGTTTTGTGCATACAGAAACAGTCATATATACTTTTTTCCATTATAGTGTAGGTTAACAGGAAGGATAAACTGTTATCACAATATGCCTTGCTCATATATTAATATCAAACAATATATCGATATCATATAAAAATGATCGATATTGGTGCCCACCACTAATTTCAACCTACTTTGTCGCTGCGTCATCAAAAGATGCCACCAGAACAATCATTCCGGGTTTAATCGTCTTTAAGAAGGCCAAGATGTCCGCTGTTTCTTTTTGGAGAAAGTAGAACAAAAAACATAGTCATTTAGATGAAAAAACAAGATCATTTCTATCTTTACATTTCGATCAGAATATAGAAGCTCTGACGAAGGCCTTGAGGCCGATACGTAAAGCTTAATAAAGAGCAGTTTGTGGGTTTCTTATTTTTCTCATCTTATTCAACTGTTACCATGCACCTACAACAAAGATAGCTCAGATGTATATATATATATATATATATATATATATATATATATATATATATACACACACACACATACAGTGGGGAAAAATAGTATTTAGTCAGCCACCAATTGTGCAAGTTCTCCCACTTAAAAAGATGAGAGAGGCCTGTAATTTTCATCATAGGTACACGTCAACTATGACAGACAAAATTAGAAAAAAAAATCCAGAAAATCACATTGTAGGATTTTTAATGAATTTATTTGCAAATTATGGTGGAAAATAAGTATTTGGTCAATAACAAAAGTTTCTCAATACTTTGTTATATACCCTTTGTTGGCAATGACACAGGTCAAACGTTTTCTGTAAGTCTTCACAAGGTTTTCACACACTGTTGCTGGTATTTTGGCCCATTCCTCCATGCAGATCTCCTCTAGAGCAGTGATGTTTTGGGGCTGTCGCTGGGCAACACAGACTTTCAACTCCCTCCAAAGATTTTCTATGGGGTTGAGATCTGGAGACTGGCTAGGCCACTCCATGACCTTGAAATGCTTCTTACGAAGCCACTCCATCTTTGCCCGGGCCGTGTGTTTGGGATCATTGTCATGCTGAAAGACCCAGCCACGTTTCATCTTCAATGCCCTTGCTGAAGGAAGGAGGTTTTCACACAAAATCTCACGATACATGGCCCCATTCATTCTTTCCTTTACACGGATCAGTCGTCCTGGTCCCTTTGCAGAAAAACAGCCCCAAAGCATGATGTTTCCACCCCCATGCTTCACAGTAGGTATGGTGTTCTTTGGATGCAACTCAGCATTCTTTGTCCTCCAAACACGACGAGTTGAGTTTTTACCAAAAAGTTCTATTTTGGTTTCATCTGACCATATGACATTCTCCCAATCCTCTTCTGGATCATCCAAATGCACTCTAGCAAACTTCAGACGGGCCTGGCTTAAGCAGGGTGACACGTCTTGCACTGCAGGAATTGAGTCCCTGGCGGCGTAGTGTGTTACTGATGGTAGGCTTTGTTACTTTGGTCCCAGCTCTCTGCAGGTCATTCACTAGGTCCCCCCGTGTGGTTCTGGGATTTTTGCTCACCGTTCTTGTGATCATTTTGACCCCACGGGGTGAGATCTTGCGTGGAGCCCCAGATCGAGGGAGATTATCAGTGGTCTTGTATGTCTTCCATTTCCTAATAATTGCTCCCACAGTTGATTTCTTCAAACCAAGCTGCTTACCTATTGCAGATTCAGTCTTCCCAGCCTGGTGCAGGTCTACAATTTTGTTTCTGGTGTCCTTTGACAGCTCTTTGGTCTTGGCCATAGTGGAGTTTGGAGTGTAACTATTTGAGGTTGTGGACAGGTGTCTTTTATACTGATAACAAGTTCAAACAGGTGCCATTAATACAGGTAACGAGTGGAGGACAGAGGAGCCTCTTAAAGAAGAAGTTACAGGTCTGTGAGAGCCAGAAATCTTGCTTGTTTGTAGGTGACCAAATACTTATTTTCCACCATAATTTGCAAATAAATTCATTAAAAATCCTACAATGTGATTTTCTGGATTTTTTTTTCTCAATTTGTCTGTCATAGTTGACGTGTACCTATGATGAAAATTACAGGCCTCTCTCATCTTTTTAAGTGGGAGAACTTGCACAATTGGTGGCTGACTAAATACTTTTTTCCCCCACTGTATATATATATATATATATATATATATATATATATATACAGTGGGGAGAACAAGTATTTGATACACTGCCGATTTTGCAGGTTTTCCTACTTACAAAGCATGTAGAGGTCTGTAATTTGTATTATAGGTACACTTCAACTGTGAGAGACAGAATCGAAAACAAAAATCCAGAAAATCACATTGTATGATTTTTAAGTAACTAATTTGCATTTTATTGCATGACATAAGTATTTGATCACCTACCAACCAGTAAGAATTCCGGCTCTCACAGACCTGTTAGTTTTTCTTTAAGAAGCCCTCCTGTTCTCCACTCATTACCTGTATTAACTGCACCTGTTTGAACTCGTTACCTGTATAAAAGACACCTGTCCACACACTCAAACAGACTCCAACCTCTCCACAATGGCCAAGACCAGAGAGCTGTGTAAGGACATCAGGGATAAAATTGTAGACCTGCACAAGGCTGGGATGGGCTACAGGACAATAGGCAAGCAGCTTGGTGAGAAGGCAACAACTGTTGACGCAATTATTAGAAAATGGAAGAAGTTCAAGATGACGGTCAATCACCCTCGGTCTGGGGCTCCATGCAAGATCTCACCTCGTGGGGCATCAATGATCATGAGGAAGGTGAGGGATCAGCCCAGAACTACACGGCAGGACCTGGTCAATGACCTGAAGAGAGCTGGTACCACAGCCTCAAAGAAAACCATTAGTAACACACTACGCCGTCATGGATTCAAATCCTGCAGCGCACGCAAGGTCCCCCTGCTCAAGCCAGCGCATGTCCAGGCCCGTCTGAAGTTTGCCAATGACCATCTGGATGATCCAGAGGAGGAATGGGAGAAGGTCATGTGGTCTGATGAGACAAAAATAGAGCTTTTTGGTCTAAACTCCACTCGCCGTGTTTGGAGGAAGAAGAAGGATGAGTACAACCCCAAGAACACCATCCCAACCGTGAAGCATGGAGGTGGAAACATCATTCTTTGGGGATGCTTTTCTGCAAAGGGGACAGGACGACTGCACCATATTGAGGGGAGGATGGATGGGGCCATGTATCGCGAGATCTTGGCCAACAACCTCCTTCCCTCAGTAAGAGCATTGAAGATGGGTCGTGGCTGGGTCTTCCAGCATGACAACGACCCGAAACACACAGCCAGGGCAACTAAGGAGTGGCTCCGTAAGGAACATCTCAAGGTCCTGGAGTGGCCTAGCCAGTCTCCAGACCTGAACCCAATAGAAAATCTTTGGAGGGAGCTGAAAGTCCATTTTGCCCAGCGACAGCCCCCGAAACCTGAAGGATCTGGAGAAGGTCTGTATGGAGGAGTGGGCCAAAATCCCTGCTGCAGTGTGTGCAAACCTGGTCAAGACCTACAGGAAACGTATGATCTCTGTAATTGCAAACAAAGGTTTCTGTACCAAATATTAAGTTCTGCTTTTCTGATGTATCAAATACTTATGTCATGCAATAAAATGCAAATTCATTACTTAAAAATCATACAATGTGATTTTCTGGATTTTTGTTTTAGATTCCATCTCTCACAGTTGAAGTGTACCTATGATAAAGATTACAGACCTCTACATGCTTTGTAAGTAGGAAAACCTGCAAAATTGGCAGTGTATCAAATACTTCTTCTCCCCACTGTATATGCGAGAGAAAAAAACATATGGGGGATTGGAAGTGATGCAGAGAATTACATTGATGGAAGTTACAATTTATCTGCAATATTAAAGCTGATCTATCCCCTAAAAAATAAAAAAAATAAAAAATGCTCAGATGTGCGAGTGCCTTTTGAATTTTGCATCCTTATAACTGCCCTTACCTCCAGAGTACATGTTAAAGAAGTCAAATGTTTCAATCTTCCCATTTTCACCTAAGAAAACAAGAGATGCACATTGTATAACAAGTCAGGTATGTCTGATCCCATTTCCCTTTTGCACAATCCAATCATTCACTCCATAGCAGTGTGTCTATTTGCATCATAACATATGTGTGGTGAAGTTAGGAGAAGCTGAACTCACCATTCACCAGCACTAGGTTCAGGCCTGGTCCCACGTTGTTCATCACACCACTCATAACACTATGGAGATGAGAGTCACATGTCACAAGACTGCAAACACAAGAGCTGGAGCAGCAACCACATGTGCAATAGCTGAGGTGTCATGGAAAAGCTTGGTGAAAATATCCACGTTTAAATTAGGGACCGGCTGCAATCAAATCTTGCTCACTAATCACTAGCTAATATGTCCATTCCTGTTTACAATATGAATGCAAATTGGTTAAGAAGATACGTACATGTTACCATCAAAGCAGATCTTTGGGCCCACAACAGTCGCTGCTCCACTCCTGATTTGAAAAGCAAAATGGTCGATAGGGCAGTTTTTGGAAAGGCTGCATTTTGGATGGGAGGTTTTGGGCACAGCTGACAAATACAGGCACAGATACATATTTGTGTTGAAATTATATATTTACAAACCAACAGAGAAAACAACATACTCATCAAGCTGTAACAGACATCCTTATAATATGTCTCATATACAACTAGTCAAATCAAATCAAAATGTATTTGCCACATGCGCCGAATACAACAGGTGTAGACATTACAGTGAAATGCTTACTTACAAGCCCTTAACCAACAATGTAAAATAGAAAAAGTGTTAAGTAAAAAAATAAAAAGCAAATAACTAAAGAGCAGCAGTAAAATTAAATAACAGTAGGGAGGCTATATACAGGGGGGTACCGGTACAGAGTCAATGTGCGGGGGCACCGGCTAGTCGAGGTAATTGAGGTAATATGTACATGTGGGTAGAGTTAAAGTGACTATGCATAAATAATAAACAGAGTTGCAGCAGCGTAAAAGAGGGAGATGGGGTAGGGGTGGGGGGGCAATGTAAATAGTCTGAGTAGCTATGATTAGCTGTTCAGGAGTCTTATGGCTTTGGGGTAGAAGCTGTTGAGAAGCCTTTTGGACCTAGACTTGGCGCTCCGGTACCGTTTTGCCGTCAAGCAACCTACGGTATGTAGACGCAAACCTCTTCTGATGAAATCCAAAGTGTTATACATGATACAAAGTGTGATACAAAGTGTCAATTAATGCAAAGTTTTAAGAAAATCACATTATGGCAGACTTAAGAGACAGACTTAATTAATATGTAGGACCCCCTCCTATGTCTCTCTCCTTTAGAACCAGCACTATCACATTCCTAAATCTGATGAAACAGAGTACTGGGTTCCTTACAAGAAGTGAGGGAGGTTGTGAATAGCTAAAGATTACTGACTGATAGGCGACTGAGGGTTCTGATACATGTATCAGGGACAAAGAGAAAACTTCAGACATCATACGAGACACTTCTGAACTGTCTGTATCACTTTGAAATTCAACTATTTACTTCATAATAAATTATTCCTGCAGAATATTTAACTTAGGAGAAAGGATCAAATTCTACTGTATTCAGCATTTGGCATATTCAGCATTCGGCATGTATTGAACATTCGGCATGTTCAACTATGAAGAATGACAGATACTATTGAGATAGATGGGGAAATAGCAGAAATGGGAATGCTTGAAACACTTACCAGCAGTGACCACAGTTTCTTTTTGAGCTCCTGAAATAAGAAATACACAACACAATGCTATTATACCGAGGGGGAAAACGATTAAGTAGAGGGCAAAAGAGATACACAGAAATAGATATGGAGAAAGAGCAACCTTACCAAAGATATGTTGTTGTACAATCCTGGCTCTCTCATGTATGTAGGGTGGGTTGGTATAGATTCCCCATATAACAAGGATGACGATGAGGAAAGTAACAGCATACACAAGGTCTAGCAACCATAACCACAACAACACATATGTGAGATAATGCAAATTCCACACTCAATCACATTCAACTTATTTAAAATATTCCCATGCCGTGCAAAGACAGAGATCTCACCTCTTGGTCTCATCTCAACAGCCAATTAGAAGACAATTCCTGGGTATTTTGGCAGTTCTTTACACTGAAAGAAGAGATTCCTGAAGTATTTCCTGACAGCCTGGAGTACTCTCCTCTGTCATGCTGTATAGCTCAAGCAACAGTCACCACTTCCACCGTCATCCTGTCAAATCTACAGCAGTGTTCAACCTCAATAGAGAACCCACAGTGATTATCCTGTAGCCTATAGACAGTAAATACCAACACTCCTGTAAGGTACATTGTGAAACCAGGATATGGTAATATGTCCACACCCACCATATAAACAAGATGACCACACAGAGGAGGTTCAGATACCGGGACACGACCACGGATATTGGCTTTTGATCAAACAATACAACACAATGAGAGTTTAGCACTTCTATTTACTTTAGCCATACCTTTACTGTCATCTAATGTTGAAATCAAACACCTAAGGTAAAACACAGCAGTATGACTGGGAATGGGCCAACGGACAGGAGGGCATGTACTGGCCTGATGGCGCTATTGCTACTGCAATCGCTCCCTTCCATGATTCCATATTTACCCTTTGGATTGTTGGATTATGTGGTTAGCATACACAGGTGTGGGGGTGTGGTTGATAATGACGTGTCACTCATGCCAGATGAGTAGAGGATCTCTTTATCTACAGTGAGGGAAAAAAGTATTTGATCCCCTGCTGATTTTGTACGTTTGCCCACTGACAAAGAAATTATCAGTCTATAATTTTAATGGTATGTTTATTTGAACAGTGAGAGACAGAATAACAACAAAAAAATCCAGAAAAACACATGTCAAAAATGTTATAAATGTATTTGCATTTTAATTAGGGAAATAAGTATGTGACCCCCTCTCAATCAGAAAGATTTCTGGCTCCCAGGTGTCTTTTATACAGGTAACGAGCTGAGATTAGGAGCACACTCTTAAAGGGAGTGCTCCTAATCTCAGCTTTTTATCTGTATAAAAGACACCTGTCCACAGAAGCAATCAATCAATCAGATTCCAAACCCTCCACCATGGCTAAGACCAAAGAGCTCTCCAAGGATGTCAGGGACAAGATTGTAGACCTACACAAGGCTGGAATGGGCTACAAGATCATCGCCAAGCAGCTTGGTGAGAAGGTGACAACAGTTGGTGCGATTATTCGCAAATGGAAGAAACACAAAATAACTGTCAATCTCCCTCGGCCTGGGGCTCCATGCAAGATCTCACCTCGTGGAGTTGCAATGATCATGAGAACGGTGAGGAATCAGCCCAGAACTACACGGGAGAATCTTGTCAATGATCTCAAGGCAGCTGGGACCATAGTCACCAAGAAAACAATTGGTAACACACTACGCCGTGAAGGACTGAAATCCTGCAGCGCCCGCAAGGTCCCCCTGCTCAAGAAAGCACATATACAGGGCCGTCTGAAGTTTGCCAATGAACATCTGAATGATTCAGAGGAGAACTGGGTGAAAGTGTTGTGGTCAGATGAGACCAAAATCGAGCTCTTTGGCATCAACTCAACTCGCCGTGGTTGGAGGAGGAGGAATGCTGCCTATGACCCCAAGAACACCATCCCCACCGTCAAACATGGAGGTGGAACCATTATGCTTTGGGGGTGTTTTTCTGCTAAGGGGACAGGACAACTTCACCGCATCAAAGGGACGATGGACGGGGCCATGTACCGTCAAATCTTGGGTGAGAATCTCCTTCCCTCAGCCAGGGCATTGAAAATGGGTCGTGGATGGGTATTCCAGCATGACAATGACCCAAAACACACGGCCAAGGCAACAAAGGAGTGGCTCAAGAAGAAGCACATTAAGGTCCTGGAGTGGCCTAGCCAGTCTCCAGACCATAATCCCATAGAAAATCTGTGGATGGAGCTGAAGGTTCGAGTTGCCAAACGTCAGCCTCGAAACCTTAATGATTTGGAGAAGATCTGCAAAGAGGAGTGGGACTAAATCCCTCCTGAGATGTGTGCAAACCTGGTGGCCAACTACAAGAAACGTCTGACCTCTGTGATTGCCAACAAGGGTTTTGCCACCAAGTACTAAGTCATGTTTTGCAGAGGGGTCAAATACTTATTTCCCTCATTAAAATGCAAATAAATTTATAACATTTTTGACATGTGTTTTTCTGATTTTTGTTGTTGTTATTCTGTCTCTCACTGTTCAAATAAACCTACCATTAAAATGATAGACTGATCATGTCTTTGTCAGTGGGCAAACGTACAAAATCAGCAGGGGATCAAATCCTTTTTTCCCTTACTGTATAAGCACTGAAGAAACTCACCGTAGCAGTACTGTACATTATTTAATTTAAAAGTGAAGAACAGCAAACACATATTCATTTTTGCTCAGGGGGAAATACATTTATACAACATGTTTATATAATATAAAGAAGAAAAGAAAAAAGTACGAAAAAAGTATGAAAACATATGCACTCTGAATAAGAGCATCTGCTAAATGACAAAAATAATAATAATTAAAGGACATAACCACAACATTTTAGTCATTTAGCAGACACTCTTATCCAGAGCGACTTACAGGAGCAATTAGGGTTAAGTGCTTTGCTGAAGGGCACATCGACAGATTTTTCACCTAGTCGGTCGGGGATTAGAACCAGCGATCTTTCGGTTACTGGCACAACGCTCTTAACCACTAAGCTACCTGCCGCCCAGCTTGTGTCTTGAAGACAAACCCTCGGCAGCTGTGTTAAGTTAATATAGTATTACAGACTTTACATGCAATGTGTGAATAATACTTAAAGATGACACAATAATACTCAACAACTGAAACAGTGCTTGAAGAGGTCAGTAACAAATACAGAGATTTGATTGCGGTATACAGTGCAGACACAGTTTCTATACTTGTGAAGGATAGCTCTTTTGTCTGCTTGACATTGGTATCAGTTACATATTTAAAAATATTATTAACAGTCCAGATGTGTTGAATAAGGTATGCATGTCATGACAACAATTCCCTGAATTAAAACCAACATCAGTGGATAATAGCCCTGTTGTAACTAGTCAATGCAAAATAACCCAGCCATTTCCGGTGCATGTAGACTGGAAGGGGTGCAGGGAGAAGAAGAGGTAACAGCTTAGCGAATGCGCACACACCAACACACACACACACACACACACACACACACACACACACACACACACACACACACACACACACACACACACACACACACACACACACACACACACACACACACACACACACACACACACACACACACACACACACACACACACACACACACACACACACACACACACACACACACACACACACACACACACACTTCACCATCCTCAGCTAACCTGAGAGCAGAGCAGTGTCATCCAAGTAATGATTCACTCCAACATATCCTGTTGGAGGGGAGAAGGGAGAAGGAAGACACAATTAGATCTCTTATCACAGCAAAAACACCCACAAGCCCTGCAAAAATATATAGTAGGCTAGGCCTATGAAATAAATGGCCTGTCATGTTCCAATGTTTAGCAGCCAAGTACTGTCCATGCAGGTCAAATTACTATCTTATAGCCTATGGTATAACTTAGGTGTTGCCAAAACTTTTCTAGTCTCTAAAATGTTATTTTAAAATGCAAAACTGACCCAAGATCAGCGTCTAGGGGCAACTACACCACTATAGTGACAAGGAGGATGACAGAGACACAGGACCAGGTCCACCAACCTCATCAGAGTCCTCCCCCAGTGTATAGGGCTCGGGCCCCCTCCCATCCTCCTCCTCCTCCTCCTCCTCCTCCTCCTCAGTCCCATATCCTGACCCCTCAGCCTCCATCCGCCTCAGCACTGAGTATCTGTATGTGGCCTCACTGAAAAGAAAACACAGTTTAACGTTTACATTATTTATTATTCAGACTATGACTTAAGCAGTTCATTATGATAGTTACCTGGGCACTACACCTGATAAGCAAGTTTACTCATTGATGAAATAACATAAAACGAGCATAATTAACAACCTTGTGAAAGCAATCATAAATCCTTAAAAGGCTCCATTCATATTGACATGCAGCCAAGATCAAGAATACTGGACCTCCAGTCAGGCAACATGTTTGATGTTTCATGATATTAAGATCTATAATGATCTAAAATAGAAAGGCCAACACAGCTCTATTGATGATCCCTATCAATATCACAAATACCTGCGGGGAAAGCAGTATTTTCTGATGATAAAAACTGCAGCAAGAACTGCAGCCAATGTAACAAATATCACTGCTGCAATGACCCCCGGGTGCAGTCTTGCCTGTTGAACGACAAAGACAGAGATATGGAAATTAATCTGAGAAATTAGACCGCTTGTCACAAATATGATTGCCATTTAACCAAATGCCTAGGTGTGCGCATATGTACAACTGTCAACAACGATTATATTGACAGACATCGGATATGCTACAGCTACTTCACCTGTTGAGTTGACGACTTGGTGGGGGTGACACTTCTCATATCGATCCCATACCCGTCCTCCGATAACTTCTGGGATAAATATAAACTAGTGGTGGGTGTCTCACAAAGTGTTTGTTGAATAAAGAAAAGAAGAAAGACTTTTAAAACATTATAAACTATTTTTCTTGAAGTCATCGCCATTATTGTTTACTTCCTGGTTGGGTTTCTCACCTTTGTTTACGTAGAAACGAAAGGCTTTTCTGATTGGAGGTGGAATGCTTTATTTAGGGGCGTTCGAGAGGACAAGATTGTACAGGTAGGCTATATTGCATGATTGAGTTTTGCATGTTTCTTGAATGGGGAAAAGTACAAATTCCATGAAACACCTGCATAAATTGCAGGAATATGTTGGGGGGAAATGTGTCTAATAAAATGTGTCTAATATTAACATTTCATAAGCAGTGAAATCCACAGAAATATATAGCTCCATAGTAATAGAGTAATTGCGGGAAATATGAAGATCATCTATTTAAGTGCAGTCCTGATTTGTCTTGTAGGCCTTGTATAGACTAAGTCCAGGGGCAGATTGGCCATCTGGCAATTCTGGCAAATGCCAGATGGGCTGGTCAATTTTTTTGTTAGATGGGCTGGTTGAAATTGACACACACCAAAATATTTTTTGCTTGGACATGTTGTTAGATTAAACAACTTATTTCGTGAATAGGCCTACCTCAGTAGTCTATTTATTATACTTCTTAATATAAATAAAGCAGTATGAATTACTTTATAAGATTATTACTCATGATTTTGGTCTGACTAAATCATGGGCTGGTGCCACCAACTGTAAAAGTTAGGGGACATTTTTATTCTGGAGCCCTGTAATAGTAATTAACACTTAGTGTTGATTCAGGGGAACACATTTAACAGGCACTAATTT